AAAAAAAACGAATATAACAGTCCCAATCATCATCACAGCAGTATATATATATATGAATTAAATTAAACGACGTGTCATGAAGGTAAGAGTAGAAAGCGAGCGAATGATGATTATCATCATCTCATTGATGAGAAGTCACAGCTGAGACATGAAAAGATCGACGAGTAACAATGATTGATACGATCAATTCGTTAAAAAATAAAGTTATTAGAAAAGGAAAGAATGAGAGAATTACTCCTGAAAAAATACTCTTCATCTTCTTTTCTACAACGATATGTTTATTTTGCATGAGAATAGAGAAAAGATGACAAGAAAAGAAAAAGCTAGAAAAAAAGACTAATATTAAAAAAACAGATACCTCATAAATTATCTGTTATGATAGTTCAACTAAGAATTTTTCCGACATTTCTATTTACATTCAAACTAAATAAGAATACTTATTTTTTTATCATCTATTCATGATGAATACTTTGAAATGATTTATCAAAGCTGTTTCTCATCTGTCTCTGATCTTTTCCACACATTGGTGTCATCATATACATTTAATGTCTTTCTGCTATGTTCACTGTTGGTGCCACCAGACTACATCTATAGATTCAAAATGTGAATATACATATGTGATTTTTCTATATTAAACGAGAACGAGAAAAATAAACTTTGCAATAGTACTTAATAACAAAAACATAGGTGTCATACATGTGGTTAATTCATCTTTCTTTTTGACCACCTGTTCATTTGTAAAAGACGAGAAATATAGATTATATAATCCCATTTGGTTCGGTCTAATAGTCAATTATACGCGAGAGAATCAGAGAGAGACAGAAAGAGAGAGAGAGAAAAAGAAAGAGTGAGATATTTTTTTTTATTTCCCTTCTCTATTTCAATGGTCATTTATCATTTGTCATACTCTTCTGTTATTGTCCATAAATACCAAACATTGTCTCAAGTTGTAATGTTCAAGCGTATGTATATATGTATATATATATCGTTTGAATAAAGGTCGACGTCATTCTATTGTTTGTAAGTAATATTGAACATTGTTTTCATTTTTATTATCTTTATCTTTCTTTCTCTCTCGCTCGCTCTCGCTCATTTTATTCATTGATTGGCCTTGGGAGTGCGGTAGTTCTCATTTTTACTTTTATTTTTCTCATTCACTGGAACAATACTATTTGCTACTTGATACTTTTGTTCAGCAGAAGTATGACCTGAAAGAATAATATTATGGATAGAAATATGAAAAATGATTGACCGAGCAGCTGTAGCTTCAGGGTCAACTATTGAATCGTCATGAGTCAATCAGCAGCTCGTTTTATCTTTTTTTTTCCTATAATAGAACTACTGTCGAGAGTTAATGGATAATGATGGTACTAGTATTAACAGAAAACGTAGGAGGGAAGATAGACAAGGATAAAAGAGTACAATCTTACACACACAAATTACAGACTCCTGTCGGACAGACGTATAGAGATAGTAGTCAAGATATGCAATTATCCATTTCCAGTCAAACCAAGTCGACCTTCGTACACACGTATGCAGGCAACCATCACTGAATTGTATGAGTGCTGACATATATAATGAAAGATGATGGATGAGTTTGAGGGACGAACCACTTTCGCCAATACTCGTCATATATAGATATATATATCTCTATATCTATATATATATATTTCTATAACAATAGTATTGTATTTTATCGTAGGTAAGTAAACATAAACCAGAGACAATATTTAGTTGTGTCATATGTATGATATATAGAACGAGAAATCGATTCCTGATCACTATCGTCTCTTTTTTTCTGTCTATTGCATAATGGTGTTTTTCTTTATTATCATTCCTACACAACAGTTGCCAGAGGAGAATAATTGAAGCCAAATGAATTGATCTTCCGTTTTTTTTGTTTGAACCTTTGATATACTTATGGAGTAATAATAACAATAATAACAAGAGAAAAAAAATAGGCGGAGTTTGTTCTTTATTATATCGTATAACGAGAGATCAAATCTCAACTAAATATTTAATCTATACAATAAAACACGTACTTCAACGATAAGTTTATATTAAATTATTTTTTAGATTAATAAAATGATTTTACATATATTTTTATTGAACATTTTTTTAATCATATTTCAATGGCAAATTAAACAAATTTCAACAGAAACTGTTAGTGGTTGTACAATAAATAATAATAATCGACGAATAAACAATGATAAAACGTCGGTTACATTATCTTGTGCTAATAATGGATATATTTTAGTTAAAAATTTAACATTCGGTGTACATAAAACTTCATCATTCTCAACAGCAACAACAGCAACATCATCTTGTACATATCAACCAGGTGATTGTACAACAAGAACAACATATATTGGAATGGAATGTAATGGACTTACTACGTGTGATTTAGATTTAAATCCACAATATTTACATATATGTAATTATTGAGACATTTTTTTTTCTAAAAGAAATTTATTGTATTCATTTTTTAAATAGGTAGTCAATATAGTGATTACATGGTACTTGATTATTCGTGTTTACAAGGTCCTAGTTTATCTGTGTGTAGTAATCGTTTAATATCAACATCATTAAATAAAGATCATCGTTTATTTCTTCGTAGTCCAAATTATCCTCATGAATATGAAAATTCATTAAATTGTTCATGTCAAATAAATACAATAAAATCTTCTATAAAATTTCTTGATTTTTATTTGGAAGAACGTGACGAAATGAATATATGTTCACGTGATTATTTACAAATTAATAATCGATCATATTGTGGTTCATCTATTGATGATAACAATAATCAAATGACATCATCGATTAGTTTTGATTCATCATTTCAATTAATATTTAAAACAAATGATGTTATTACAAGAAAAGGTTTTTGGGTAATGATTAATAGTCAATATCCATTACAAGTATCATGTAATAATCTAATCGACTTATCTTCTACAATAATAACAACAACAACAGAAGTTATTCAAGATTCTACATCAACTTCTGTTATATCTTTAACTAAATCATCTTCTTTCAATCTTAGTAATAATAATAATAATGATAATAACAACAGCAATAATCCTAAGCGTCGTCATACACTTTCATATATACTTATATTAACAACAGTTTTTGTTGTTGTTCTTCTATTATTAAATGTTCTTTTAATTATACTTTGTTGGAGACAACGACGACCAAAAACAACGATTGATTCAAAAACAAATGATACAAATCGACCATTTTTTTGTTCTATACGTTCATCAGCATCATCATCATCTTCAATAACATATGGTGAAACACCTGTATTAACTTCACTTGATACACAAAAACAACAAACATTATCAACAAGATATATATATCAATCGAATAAAGCAAATTTAGATACAACACCATCGACATCAACTACAACAGCAACAGGTCCATATGAAGATCTTAATGATTCAATATCAATACATCGACAATATAATAAACCAAAATTATCTGATAGTCATTCACCTTATATACAACATCGACCGATGTTTTCTTCACCAAATACTGCTTATAATCGAATGATTCATTTTCCACCAGTACCTATTCGTTGTCATCTTAGTTCGCCAGTACAAACTTTTTATCCACCTCAACCTTTCATTGATTCACAACATATTTATGAAACTATACAAGATGGACATTGTCCATATCAACGTTTAGCAGCGACACTTCGTCGTCAACAACAACAACAGCATCAACCACAATGTACATGTTATTATGATCATAATGAACAAAACTATCCCATTAGAACTCTTAATAATGAACATTTAAATACGGAATCAACTCCTGAAACTCTAGTCTGATAAAATATATTCAACAAGAGATCTGAAACGAGTTCATTTTTCTTGCCATGTCTTTTAATATTTTTTTTCTTTGTTATTGTCTTTATTCGTGTGGTGAGATGAGAAAATAACAAAACATTTTCTATTTAAACATATAATTTACATATCAATTATGATTTGTCTGTAAAGTAAAAAAAATTGACTTAATATCACCATCTCAAGATGGTTTCTTGACCTTCACTTCAAGCAAATAACTGGTCTCCAACATATTTATGACCATGAAATGATCTACGTGATGCTGAGCTATATATATTTTCTTTACTGAAGTGATAAAGACTTTTATAAGTGCAATATAGAGTATCATCTGATCATTAATGAGCACAGCAAACATATCGTTCTTCAGTTACGTTATTAAGATTTTTATGTTGTTATATGATAATTAAAATATGTAAACTCAATATTTGAGTTACTTCAACAACTTCATCATATAATATATAAAGACATTCAAATGATTGAATATGAAATGAGTCATGTAAAATAGTTTGAACAAATTTTTATGTTCGATCAATTAAACCTTTCGCTTCGTTTCATAATGCTTTTATGTCTATTCGTTATGTTATATTTATATACTTTTCTTTTTTTTTATAAACAAAAAATAAACAGAGATTTGAACAATAGACTTTTAAATGAAAAAAAAGCAACAACAATAAGAAATTTAAACAAAACGTCGTCGTTTAATTGATGTTGGTGTAGAAGAATAATCATTTTCATTATTATTATTATTATTATTAATATTATTATTGTCGTAAACTGGTGTCCAAATATAATTAAATGAACGTTTATTATCTGTCGTTACTGATTGTGGATATGTTTTGACTTGAAAATAATCTGATGGTGCATGACAAACAAATGAAAGAGAATTTAATGAACGTGGATATTCTTCGTTTGGTCCTTAAAAATCGAACAAAACTTTAAATAAAGACAAAAAAAGAGATATTTACCTATTGAATATGCATTTGGATCAAAATGAAAATTATTCGTCGAAGTATTAATTGATGTTGGTAATAACCATGTTAAAAAAGCAAATGCATTGACATGTTCATCTTGAAATAATGCACGAATTTGAGCATAAAAATATGAAAGATTTGAATCAATCAAATATACAATATCTCCAACTTCAAATCGACGTCCCTATTGAAAAGAAGATTCAAAAAGATTTGAAAGAAATGAATGATTTTTATTACTTTTGAGTATAAAACATCAAATAATCTAAATGTTGTTGATTGAGATAAACATTTTTCAGGCTAGAAAAAAAATACAATATAAAATAATTGAAAATTTTTCTATTACTTTTTTTGATTTAAATGCAAGAGTTTTTCTATTCGAACGAAATGATGGTTGTTGTCGCGTAGAAATTTTAATTGGTAATTGAGATTTAATTGGTTCAATAACTTTTGATCGTTTAGATTTTGTAATAGTTGATGATGAAGATGATGATGAAGAAGAAATTATTTGTTCATCTTTTATATTTTGAGTGGAAAATTGAAAACGATTTTCTAATGTTGGTAATTCTTCAATATTTGTATCGATACGTTTTAATTTACAAAATTGATTTGAACTTTTTAAATCATGTAAAAAACAATTATTACATAAAAGTAAATCACGAGCTGGAACACGCCAATAAACGGATGTCATCGTATCACATAGACGACAACGTGGATTACGTGGATCAATCCTAAAAGTAATTAATTATATTAGGGAAAAATTTTTTTCTTGAAGAAAAAATAATAACTTACGTTGATTGTTGATTTAGGCGAGACATTTCCAATAAAAGATTAGGGTCTCGTTTATATCATAGAAATAAATTTCATTAAAAATGTTGTGTGCTAGTCTTTTTATTCTTTCTACATTAGAATATTATTTATACCAATCAAATTTAAGTATTTGTCTAATGAAAGAGTGCGCTAGTTGCTTGTTGTGTCCTTTCATAATGAATATATATTCAATATTTATTTTGAAGAATTCTCGTCTTAATTTATCAACTCTTAAATCTTACGATATCGAATTAATAGAAATCATATTTTGCTTTCAAATACTGCAAAAATTAAGTACAATTGCATAACAGAAGTCTACCGCGGTACAAATAAAACTCAAATTGAGTGTGAATATTTCGGTAAATAAGTGAGTGTTCTGGTGTATATTTTAAACATTTATTTCTTTTAGTGGCTATTTTTTGACGCTAAATTAGTTCACCATGACATGGCTCACTGTGTCTCTACAATCGTTTCCATATTTTTCCTTAATTCGTTGGACACCTTAAAACGATGGCTACATACTGATAATTAATTTTATCATTAAATAATGCTCGACTTGAATTATCTTGTCTACTACGAGTTTACAATTAATTGATATTTCCATATGAAACAAATGCATATTCTGAATTGATCATATAGAAATCATCTGCTCATTTTGTTTCCTATTTCAGATAAATTTTTTCTCTGTATCGATTATATTAATTATGAATAAAACATTTATGTTTCGTTATATTTCATCTCTTTATCAAAAACAATATACAATACTATCTATATCATCATCGTCATCGTCATCGAAAGACATTTACTCGATAATGAAAAACTTTATGGATAACAAACAATACAAAGAAGCTTTAAGTCTGTTCGATAAACAGTCAAAATCTCCTAGGGATGTTATTATATATATGGGAATAAAAGCATGTATTCATTTAAAAGAATATCAACGTATTATTGAGATTGAACAAAAACTCTCACCAGTGACACTGAACAATCCTTATATTCAAACAATACTAATACAATTCTATAGTGAGTGAATGATTGTTTTGATAAAAATACACTCATATCATTAGAAAAACTCTATCAAAGTAAAAGATCGTTTCATTCTCTGTATGGAAACAATATTGATAGCTTATTTTGCGCTTAGATTACGACGTAGTTCTAAACAATTTGATCAGGTTTTGATATAAGAAATAAAGATGAAGTTGTAGAAGAGGAAGGCTTTATCTGTTCATAAATTTCGATATTTGACATATGTTTCTTAACTTCTCGACCGTTCTTAATTCGATAGTTTACTAAAGCTCTCATTGTTTTTCTAGAACTTTTTATCTCGCAATATCTTGTAGAGCTATGATCAAAACTGAAGTCTATTGAGAAATAATTGTACCAGAATCAAAATTGAGAACATTTTTTTTTCATTTCGAGTAAGAGAAACTTATTTCGATTATGAATATTTTGATGATATGAGTTTATAATTCATTCTAGTGCAAAATCATGACATAAAAAATGCTTATCGTTTATTTTCGATAATAAATAATAAATCAAATCATATGTATGCAACAATGTTTAAAGGTAAAGTAGTATATCTGTCATTGTCATATTGAAATATGAATTTATTTTCAGGTTTGATTTCGAATAAAATGCCAGAAAACGTTCTCGACTTATATGAAAAAATGAATATTAAAGCTAATCCAGCTACTCTCACAGTTTTATTTAGTGCTTGTTCTAAAGGTGCAAATGATCGTGCAAAAAATATTGGAAAAGAATCTCTTCAGAAGATGCCTAATGATTATTACAATAATAATATTTTATTAACATCAGCAATTAATATGTTAATGAAATTTAATGATATTCAAAGTGCCGAAAAACTATTTAAAATGATTAAAAACAAAGATATTATTACATATGGTTCAATGATGAAAGGTAATTGAATGAGTGAAATAAAGATAGAATTTAACAAATTATATTTAGGTTATACGGAAAACAAGGAGTATGATAAAGTATTAGATTTATTCGAACAAATGCCATTAAAACCTGATCATATTATTGGTGTTCTTGTTTTCAATGCATCTGCACAACTTTTGCATGATCGTGCTAAACAAATTGGACGACAGTTACTTTACCAAGTACCTAAACATTTTCATAGTGATACTGTTGTACTTACTTCAGTCATAGATATGCTAATGAAATTTAATGATGTAACAACTGCGGAGCATTACTTTAAAATGATTAAAAAAAAGGATGTTGTTGCTTACAGTGTTTTAATGAATGGATATAATATTAATAATGAACCATTGAAATGTTTACAATTACTAGATGAAATTAAACAACATAATTTGATACCAGATGAAGTCGTCTGGATTATATTAATAGGAGCATGTGCACAACTGAGCATACGCTCAAAATGTCAGTTAATTTTTGATCAAATTCCTTCACATCTAATTAATAAGAAATATATACAAAATTCATTAATCCATATGTGGGTATGTATTCATTTTTTTGAATCTATATAACAATGACTTTTATTTTATCCAAGGGAAAAGCTGGTTCAGTCGAAAATGCTCAAAAGATCTTTCAACTAGTTGATAATCCTGATGCTATCACATATAGTGCAATGAGTAAAAAAAATATTTAATTTCTATCTTTTATTATTGAATTTTTGCGTGTCTAGTTAATGCCTATGGACTTAATCGCATGGGTTTAGAAGCTATTGAATTATATCGAAATATACCTTGTCATTTACGTGATGAAGTAACATATATATGTGTATTAAATGCATGTTCACATTCTGCTCTTCTTGATGATGCATATTCAATTTTCAATGAAATTCCTCAAAAAAATGAACAAATCATAACTACTATGGTTTAACTATTTGATAGTATATTTTGTTAAATAGAAATATTGTCATATATTTTAGATTGATTGTTTAAGTCGTCTTTATTTATTTGATGAAGCACAAAAACTAATCGAAGATTATGAAAAGTCGTATCCACCTTCTTCAGCCATGTACAGTAAGTGTTTCTTCAAATTTTATTGTTGATTTATGTTTAATTCTTAGTGGCAATTTTATCTGGAACACGTAATTCTCGTCAACATATTTTATCAAAACAAATCTATGATAGAATGAAAATATTATTTCCAAATCAAAAAGATAGCCTAATATCTGGCTCTATTCTTCTTTCGAATATATATTTATCATTAGGTGATCATCAAGAGGCCGAAAATATACGATTAAATCGAATAGAACAATTAGGAACAAAAGTTAAATCAGGAACGTCATGGACTGAAGTCAATGGTGATATAGTTGTAAGTACAATTTTTAATTAATAATTAAATTCGATAGAAAAAAGAATTTGTTTATGTTATTCTCTTTCAGGAATTCAAAGCTAACGATCGTTCTCATTCTCGATCTAAAGAAATTTATGCTCAATCTAAACATATCTCTGATACATTAATTAAATATGATCCTAGTTGGAAAAGTTGTCCGTTACGTAAAGATGAAACTATTGAATCAGTTTTATCTAGTCATAGTGAACGGCTAGCAATTGCTTATCATTTCATTCAACAAAAAGAACCATCATTTATTCAAATTACAAATAATCTTCGTATGTGTGGTGATTGTCGTAAGTTATTGTTCATTATTTTCTTATTATTTTTAGTGTAATCGGTGTATTTATTCATTTAGATCGAGCCACAAAACTCATTACTAAAATTTGGCAATGTGAAATAATTGTACGTGATGCGAATTGTATACATCACTTTTCACCTGATGGAACATGTTCGTGTCGAGATCATTTTTAATTGTTATTTTTTTGTTTTATTTACCATTTTTCCATATGAAGAAAAAATAAAAGATAAATATTTTAAATATTCTTTTTTCTTGAGGGTGTGGGTGCTTGGCGAATACAGTATCCATATCCACACCCTCGCTGTTAAACGAAGTCCGAGTTGATTAGACGAATTTTTGATTTTGATCAAATGATAAGCTATAAAATCAAAGAATACAGTCGAAATACAAATACTGATTGAAGTTCAAAGAATAATCCAATAATCAGTCATAATACTTACTATTCGATGTGTGGATGAATTTATTTTGAATTAACCGAGAAAATCAACTTTGTACAAATGAGGATTCTTTATATTTGTTTAAAAAAAAGAATTAACTATCATTCTGTTTTTTATAAAATCTACTAGTTTAAACAGACCAAGAACCAAAATAAAAAACTATCCGAACTTTAAAATACTATATTAAAAAAGAGATCGGATTGCGCAAGCAGTTTAACTTGAATGTCTGATGGTATAGACGCGATTGTAGATACTAAAAGTGCCTACAAATATTTCGAAGTAAATTAATATTCACATAAGTTTTTTTTTTTCGATTTTTAGTATTTTATTATTTTTTTGGATTTTAAGTTCTATGAAAAGATTCACAAACAAACTCTTTAATCTATTTATTTGTAATAATACGAAGTAGCTGACTCGACATTAGCCGATCCCGACAATAGTCAAAATGGAACAGATATGTTAAATGAAACGAGTTGCATGTGATGCAATAACATGGTAGTTCGATAAAAGAAAAGAGAAAAAGAGAAATCTAAATCAAACAGTTTACACAATATTATTTCAAATTGTATCGTCCAGAATAATTTTAATCTCAGTAATATTTGTTTTGTCTATTGAATTAAAATTAATAATCACAGATATACACATATTTTGTAAACGGTTTTGATTATATAAAGTAATATTCTTAAAAATAGTTTTCAAAGACTAATTGACTGACAGAAGAGGTAATAATTCAATGGATTTATTGATAGTTTATTAATTCATATTTTGAGAACCTTTTAATACATTATTTGACTGATAGACATGTAAACAAAAAGAGGCTGTCTTCTGAATCACAGTTTATCAATTTTACGTCATGTTTCAAGAAAGTCTGTCTTCTTAGAAAATATAGATTACATTCAAATATAAACTAATCCCAACACAGGTCAAATTAATGACATTGTTTAAAATTGATTGATGAAATAAATGTAAGACATATATTAAATTTAAAGACTTTTTTATTCCCCATTAGCGGGAGTACCCGATGTTGGTCGGGAAATTTTGGTAGTATATATCTCGCAGATGAGAAAACGGGTGTGAATATGGGTGAGGGTTTGAAGTATGAATGTGACTGTTTTCATCAAAACACATAATCACTCATACCGGCACCACATTCACACCCTCACTCACCCATTCACGCTCTCACTCTCATCCACCTATCCACGTACTCCCTCACCCACACCCACACCCTAGCCCATACTCACTCTCAGATCAGTTAATTTTGTAGCTGAATCTATAATTAAAAGAGCTCATAAACTCACGACATTCACCACAAATATGAAGATTTTAAACAATTCGAATACGATTTAGAATTGATAGTTGAATTAAATTAAATATGATTACTAATCGTTTACTATGCTCGCATAAAACTGAGTCAACAGTTTCATCATTATGGAATTCTCGTGTTATCCATGATTCATCATATCTATAACCATGTTTAATGAGTTTTTTCATTAATCAATCTAATGTTTGATAAATTTCTTGAGAATGTGGATGTAATTGATTATGCAAGCTCGAAATTTCTGTTTAAAAAATATAATAAAACTGTTTTCGACCTATTCTAACTTACATAAACTTTTCTATCAATAACAGTCCATGAACAAGCAATCGTTCTTTTTCAATTTGATCCTGTTATGTTCATTCTAATATTTGATGCCATGGATTCATCACTACGTAAAGCATACGTATTAGTAAAAAGAATTCGAGCTGATATAAGACCATTTTCATCATTGAGAAAATTCAATTTCATACGATGAAAAATCTTTTTTGATAAATCAATATTCTTTACAATGCGAGTAGATGAAAGTATTGACACTTTTATTTTTTTTAAATATGTTAAAGTATTAAACAGAGAAAAACCAACTAGTCAACCTACTGTACATTGAAATGTAAGAATTATGACATTTTTATGCTTGATTAAAAAGAGAAACTCGACTGAATATATCAACCTAAATAAAAAAAGTAAAGTTTTTATTTAAATTTCTCAAAGATTATTAACCATTGTTGTATAAATTTTATTTGTTTAAAGATATTTTAAGTTTGATAGACAAGAGTTGAATAAGAAGAAGCGTTCAACAGTTATGATAAATCAATGATTGACATTTAAAAAATTTCTCAGTTGTATATATCGGAACGTATGAATAGAAAGGAGATGATGCTTAAAACCCGTACTACTGAATGAAGGAATAAAGGAAGTCTTTTCTACTCAAAAAAAGTTGCATTTCCCTCAATATTAAAAGATGGTTTAGTAGTATATTTTGTACACAACAATCAGTTTATATAACATAAAGTTCCGCTCGGAATAAGAAAATAGTGTGACAATGTGATAACAGAAATTCGTATTTTACGGGTTTCGATTCACAAAGATTGATTTTACAATCAGCTTTGTACGAAAAGGTCTGCACTTTCAAGTCTTATACTTAGAAATATAGAATATTTGTTTGTTATAAAACCACTGAATTAATAGACTAAGCTATTGTTCAAGGCCTATGTCAAAGTTATCTAAATGCATGAACTGAGAGAATAAATATTTTTGCACAAAACATACTACCCGAAGATTTTTAAATATCGAAATCGAGGAAAGTTCTGAAGTTCTTTTTATAAAGACAGGAGCCTGTTTCCTTCTTCTATTTGTCAATTAAACCAATTGCAAGAATACAGACATTGGTATTTGACTGTAACGACGAATTATTTTTGTTTTTCAAACAATAGTTCATTCTTTTAGAGCGAATCGTAATCTAAATCAAAAACTCCGCTTGATCTATGACGATGTAAGGTCTGTATATTGATCTCACAGCTACATCCTCACAAAACGTTCTATACTAACTACTTTGTTTATTTGTTATCAAAAAAAGTAAGGTGCAGGAATAAGTTAGAGTAAAATAACGCTATCTAGCAAGCAAAAATATTTGGGTTAGTTAAAAAAAAGAGTAAATGTTAGTGTTAAACAATAGGTGTCTTTTTTGTTGTCTTCTTGCGGAATATAACTCGCCAATAATCTGCTCGTCCTTCTTGCATATTATCATAAAGTTCAGTGCCAGGTAATCCAGCCAATAGACGACAATATTCTCGATCTGCAGGTTCAATATAACGCTCAATAAAGTCAGCACGTGAATCACTTTGAATATCAAGTGCATGAAGAACACTTCTTGTAATATCAACCTTCTCTTGAATAATAAATGCATTATTTGTTGTTAAATAATCAACCAATACATTTGATCCATTTACATTACACAAGCCACACCAGAGGAAGCATCCATTAGGTATAAGCACACGAGTAACTTCATGGACGAATTTCTTCACTGCTTCTATTTCATCAAAAAGATTTGTTGTCTCAATCGAGAGAACAACATCTATTGACTCATTTTGAAATGGTAAATGAGTTTTTGGATCAGCTATCATAAATGAGAGTCGAGGTATTGTTGAATAATATTGTTGACATAGGTTAATAACATCTCTAGAAAGATCTATTCCAATATAAGAGTGAGGAGCATATGTTCGAACACACCAAGCAGCACCAGCACCTCGACCACAACCTACTTCGAGTATATTTTGATCTGTAAGTGTTATATTAGCAAGAACCTAGAATGAAAAACAGAATATTCTACTGATGATTGCTACTACATTTATCATCTTTTATTTCATTCATTGCTCACTTTTTCAGAAATACAGAAGTAGACTAAGGCGGAACTAGGAGCTCTATACATTCTCTAATATATTTTTGAAAAAAAGATTTAAATCTTACGCTAATATTTTCACAACTGATATCTTGATTAATTATCTATCACTGTTCGAATACATATGATAAAGTAACAACTTTTCATCAGAAGTCTTGCTAAAGGTTATCACAAGATTTTCTCTATTTTAAACAAAATTCTGTTTCACATTTTGTGTTTATCAGAGATTTCTTTTAGGAATACACAGACAGCACACCATTATGTTCCAGATCACCTATATGATGATAATCTAAAGAATGCAGTAACTACATTCTTTTCTGGTATATGAAATTTTTCTTGATTCACTTCTTGTAAAATGTGTTATGGAACGTCATCATCATCAATCAAATAGAAGTTGAAACTATCAATACGAAAGTACTCATGAAAGCAATTAATAGATTTATTTCTCTTTATTGTGATTTTTATGTTTTAGTTCATAAGTAATAAAGTAACTAAATCTATGATATGAGTAAGATTCGTATTAATTAATTTGGATCTCAAAAGTTAATCTATGATACTATATCAGAAATATTTCAACTCAAATGGATTTGATTCTTTCATTCATCTTCACTTACCTGTTGATAAAGTTTTTTCGAATAATAACCAGTATTATCATCAACATGTTCATCTAAATTTGCATAACCCCAATTTATAAATTGTAGTTCATTGACATTCGTATAAATGCTTGAAACTTTTTCATACCAAAAAGACAGTCGATCAAATCTGTTGGATCCCTGTTGATATTTGATGACATCATCACAAATGGGTACAGATCGAGATAAAATTGATTTTGCCACATAAGATTCTAAACGAAAGAAATTCAGTACAGTAAAATGATGTATACATGTATCTTATAGGATGATCATCAAAAGAACAGTTTAACTTTGAATGATATTACTTTCAAAGAATCAAAGAAAAAGATACAGAGGCAAGAAAATGTACCATATTATTTTTCAATTCTATAAAAATACGGTAAATATGCAATCATGTCAGATCTCTTGATACGTAGATCCTGATTTGTAACGTGCCCAAAATGTATCACGTATAGGATATTCGAATTGAAAGTTAGTATAATGAGAACATCAGAGTAATTCAGTATATTTCCTAGGAAAGAGAATATACGTTATCAATTGGTTTCGTGTTATGAACAAATCGGACAAAGTTTTATTCATCGATATAACATACAAGTTTCTAATTGATTTACATCGCAGGATAAGATTTGAATAGATAGTTTAGAGTCTAATCTAATGGAAAAAAACATCAATTTTAAGTGTATTAACAGCAAGTCATAAAAGACAACAAAAGTATATTAAATGCGTTAGATATATCATAGATAATGATCAATTGAAAAGCTACTGAGAGAAAACTCTATTTTATATGACATATTATATCGTTCAGATGACTTTTTCAGTTACTTTACACCAATAACAGAAAATGACTTATTCATTCAGACTTTTTTAATATTAAAATCATTATCTAAAAAACTTACGTGCAGGAAGTCCTTTCCATTGTGTATTCGGTTGTAATAGATCATTTTTCATTACGAGTGTAAAAGGATAAAGCCGATTGTTACCCATTAATTTACAACCTGACATTACCATTGATCTACTCATAAGGACGCACGAATTACCCACTGTAACAGGAGCTATTTTCCAAACACGTTGTTCGAAAGTGTGACCCTGAAATGATTATATAGAACAAAAAATTTATAGATAAAAATGACACGAAATGTATATATTACCGAAATATCAGCACTGGTGTTAAGTCGAACATGATCTCCAATAGTTACCAAATTGTAATCAAAAATAGAAGAAAAATCAGGTATGATGACATTGTTGCCGATGCTCGCACCATATGCTCGAAATAATCGAATTAGCCATTGTGTATTGCCAAGAAATGAACAAATAAAAATTCGATGATCTTCTCCTAGTTTTCCTATTATCTGTTTGATTATTTTATTGTCTACATATGAGGACCATCGATAGAAACTGCAAACAATTATTGTATGAATAATTGATCCACCAACAAGACCACATGACAGATAGATACCTATGAGAAGACATTTACTTATATAGTGAGAAAAACAAGTTTTCCAAAATGAAATAGTTTTAATTTGATCTTCCGTTGCTTGTCTAAAGGGCATTTGAAATGGCATAGCACGAGCTGGAACACCAATGAAAACATCTCCACTGTTACTATTCGTTTCTCGAGTGATACGCGTTAAATTACCAACCATAGTATAAGACACAAGATGACTGCCCGGCAAAATTGAACAAAAATTGCCAAGATTTATATGAGATCCGAGTGTTATACAATCTACACGATGATTACCTGAAAGTGTCATCTCAGTAGGAACTAATAAAACATCAGCAAAACTAGTGACTCCTGTCTCGAGTTTTAATAAATTTGTTGGATAGGATAGAAAAGTGCCTATCTCAGCGAGTTTGACATCATCTTTAACTTGAGCGCCTAGCCAACGAAGAATAAAAGGATAAAGATGATCGTATCCAGTTGGTAAAGACCAAGCATGATGAAAACTAGATACAATTAATTGACGAAGCCATACCTTATGTAAATATGACCACGATGCAATTGGATATGTCTCACCAGCAACACAAGAACCAACTACGAATTTCAACAGGAAGAGAGTGATAAAACAAGCAAAAATTGACCACAAAGTCCAGCAAAAAGCAAGGCTAATAGGTAGTGGTATTTGTTCAACTGAATAAACCTTGTAGACAATGGCTAAGAGTGTACAATGAATACAGATGAGTGAGATGATTGTAATAACTTGATAGATCTTGTGCCATTTCAATAATAATCGGTTACTATGTGTGATTGAAATGTCTGATGGAATCGATTTATGTCCGTCACCATCGATAATCGTTCGAGATGCGATGAAACCACTGATAGATGACATAGGCTGAACAATAATATTATCTTGCATATCAACTCCACTAAACAAAATCGATTGGGCACTAATTGAACAATAGCAACCAATTTTAATTGAATGTAGTGTGAAAGTATTATTATCATTGAAATATAAAGAGTTAAGAGTCGTTTTATCAGCAATCCAAGTTCCATCACCAATATCTAACAACCATGGAGCATCAATAGTTATGGTATAAATATGTGCATTGACACTAATCCGAGCACCACAAAAACGAAGATAGCAATTGTACAATGGTGTACCAAGTATATGTTGCAGCCAGAATGTATTGTTATTCCATAGTCGATCTAAAAACCACCAACGATAATAGTTCCAAGAAAACACATCGCCTCCTTTAACATTTTCTGGCAATAGTAGACGTGAACATATGACATAGAATAGAAGATGACATATTGGTAAGATCGGAAAAAGAAGTGGACACCATTGATGAATTATCATGATTGGCAACAACCACTGGTAAATAAGGAGTACAATACCAAAAGATTCGATGACAAATGAAGGTATCAGACGAATATCTGTTTCATGGATTTCATTGACTGTGCAACCTGTCTCTTGGAGTTCTACGACAACTAATAAAGGTTCTATAGCTTGAGCCAATTGTCGAATAGATGGATTAGTAAATAAAAGACCAATGTCAACTTTATTAGAGACCTGTTGGCGGATCAATGAAAGTGCAAGAATAGCACTCAATGAAGTACCACCAAGTTGACCAAAAGGAATTTCAACATGAGGAGATTCAATATGAAAAGCTTGACTATATATATCTTGTAACTGTTGTTCTAATGTGTTGCGCGGCATACTACCATCAATATTATCAGTTAACGATGAAAAATTAGGCGGTGGCAGAAATTTTCGATCTATTTTGCCATTTTGATTCAGAGGTAATTTATCAAGTATAATAAATATCGATGGAATCATATGTAATGGAAGATGAGATTGACAATATTGACGTAGTTGTTCTTCATTCGTATGAGATGATTGAACATAAGCAACTAAATAATCATCATTCCATTTCATGACAACACAAGCAGAGATGGATGTGATGTTAAGTAAACATCGTTCGATTTCACCAAGTTCAATTCGTTGTCCATGTAGTTTGATTTGATGATCTTTTCTTCCGTGATAATGGAGAAGACCATTCTCATCCATATGAACAAGATCACCTACTCGATAGAATAATTCACCATCAATTTCAATGAGTGCTTTGGCGGTTAATTTGTCATATCTAAGATATCCAGCAAAGACACCAACACCTCCAGTAAATAATTCTCCTTTTTGACTAGTAGATGTGCTTTGCAAGAATTTATTTAAGAGCAACGATTGATAGTTTGGTAGTGATCTGCCGAGTGGAATGCTTGCATAGTTGGTCTTAATATCAACAAGATGATATGTAGAGACGAGTGTTGTTTCAGTAGCACCATAAAGATTCCATACAGTACAGTGTGGTATACCAATGTTTGCGATTAAAGTTCTTAGTTTAACAGAAAATGGTTCACCTACAAAAATTTAGACAGCTGCAGAACATTTTGAAGTTTATCACTTAGTTACATACCAGCACAACAAATCGATCGAAGGTGTTTAATAGCATTTACGTTATCGCGCTGTTCGAGAAAAATAAAAAAGCTTTGAAGTAAACTTGGAACACTTTGCATGTATGTAACTTCTTTAGTGTGTAAGATGTGAGAGAGATAATCAAAATCAACTGTTCCATTTGGACGTAGCAGAACTGATGTAGCCCCAATCATCAAACTGCCAAGTATTTCTTGAAGATGAATATCAAATGAGCATCGTGCCATCTGAACAACAGTATCATTTTTATTGAATGTATTGCTGCCAGTCAAAGAGTATATACATCCAGCAAAATTTATGTGTCGTACTTTAATCTATTCGAATATATAGGAATGAAAATACAGATAAAAACGCAAATGTCAACAAACCGCTTTTGGTACTCCCGTTGAACCACTAGTGAAAATGATATATGCAATATTACTTGATGTGCCTATAATACTTGATAGTCGATCAACGTTAAGAGCACTGATTATATCATTAATAATCCATGGTGAATGAATGTCAATCGAAACAACTTTATTATTAAATTTAGATTTTGACAGCCAATGAACAAGAACAAGACGACTTTGTATTTGTTGTGTGAGTGCATGCAAACGATGTTGTGGATCTCGAGGTGACAATGGACAATAAACACCACCAGCCATCTCAATTCCCATAATACCAATCACCTAATCAAAATCAATCTCAAACTCTCATTAATAGTTATTTCCTCATAATCAACTTACCATTGACAAACTTCTCTCCACACATTGACACACGGCCTCACCTGGAAACACATGATACTCATTAACAAGAGTTAAAGATAATATTTGTACATAATGTAGAAGTTCAGCATATGTCAAAGATTGTTCATCAAGTTCAACAGCTAGTTTTTGTGGATACTTCATTACTTGGTATACAAATTCATGATGAATACAAGTAAGAGGAGATGGAAATGATATTTGTGTATTATTTAATGATTGCATCAGATATTGTTCATTTGGTAATACGAATGATAATTCACAGATTGGTTTGTTTATTTGATTATCAATAATAGATGCAGATAACTGATGTAAGATGGAATGAAATCGTTGTGAAATCTTCTGCACTGTGTCTCCATTAAACAAGTCAAGCGATGCATCGATTCTGCATGACAGTTGATTGATGTTCATGTTATGATAAATAGAAAGAGAGAAATCGGATACACTTAGTATTTCATCTCCATTATCGTTGAATGAGAAAGATGTTGAAACAAGTTGAGAATCACCAATCATCATGACATTGTTACTCTTGTTTGATATAAATTTCAGAGATGTATCGAGAAATGCATGTTTGGAAATATGTGGATGTTGATCAAGAATACGTTGAAGTGGAAAATATGAATACTTCATACTCTTTGTTGTTATCTTTCGAACATGTTCGAGTAATTGATGAAAACACCAGTGAGGATCTAGTTGACATCGTATTGGGATGACATTCTCAAACAGTCCAATGATTGATTTGAGTTCATCCCTATATCGATTATTATTGATGTTCATAGCAAGACATAAATCTGTTTGTCCATTAGTTAATTTAAATAGAAAGATGAAATAAACAGCAAATGTGAGATGTTCAAGTGATATGTTGTTTGATGATGCATATATAAGAAGGTCATGGGAGAGATCTTGGCTAAAATCAAAAGAAATCGATGTTGTATGACAAGTTCTACGTTCATTTGCAAGACGATATCGATCGTATGGTAATGATAAAGGTTGATCAAGTTTACAATCATGAAGAGTATCAAGCCAAAACATGCTTGCACCAGTCATTGACATTTTTTGTTCAATAACAGCATCTATTATGTAATTGAAGAAAATAATGTGTTAGGAAAAAGCGAAAAATATAAGAACATATAATATTTACAATCGATATAACGTAGAGTAGTGCTGTCATCATACAATAATTGACTTGTTGTATATGCTTGATCGAGATCATGAAGAAAGATATTTATTGATGGGTAATCAAATAAAGCATGATGAAAATTGAAAATGAGTACATCCTGGTCAGAAAGAAGGTGATTTGAGGAGATTTGTTTGTAGTAAACAAGATGACATCGAAAGACAAGACCTTGAGCAAGAGTGAAAAGTTTCGGATTATATTTCTCATCGTACCAAATGCCATCGAGTTGTTCCTGTGTTTCATAAGTACTTTCAATAAATGTAAAAAATTGTCTACCATTATCATTCACATCAATGATTCGTTGCATGACAAGGTTCTTTTCTGTATTGAAGAGAAGTAATGAATGAAGTGATTGATGTTTTATGACAGTTAGCTGAAGAGCATGACGAAGATGTTGTATTGATAAAGTATGATGATTTTGTAGATGGTAAACAAATGGCATGTTGTAGATTGGTACTTGTGGTGTATAAGGAGTGAAATGAATAGATGCATTACGCCATAGTCGAATTTGTGCAAACGATGCTGGTGCTATGTAAAAGAGAAAGCAACCAAATATGATGGATGATATTACTCGTCAAATATATTTTGTGCGAGTTTTATCCATTACTGAATTACTCTATGAATGGAACTGTTAAATAGTAAAACTAATGTTGTTGTTTGCGAGTGGTAGGCGTGATATTATATCGATCATTCATCAGAAATTTGAAAGAAACAGACAAATAAAACAGGTCGTCATAATGCTTTTGATACGTCGTCAGTTGCATTTTTTTTGAATGCTTTAGTGTTTCTAACCATTGAACTAGGGAATCTTTTTAAACGATAAAGTAACTTTTTGGAAAAACGTTTAGAATTCGAAGGATCAGGGTTAGACAAAATGTCCATCAGTGACATACACACTTATTTTCAGCGGAAAAATGACGCTTCAGTAAAAAGTACTAGTTTTGAAAGTGAAAAGGACACAAGTCGTAGAACATTTAATACCATTACATAGTCATTTATAGGAAAAACTATCTGGAATAATGTATTTATGTTGGTATATATGAGAAAAATCTTGGGGATGCGTGTGTGTATCTATATGAATAGAAAATCCACATTCACATCCACTCACAGTCTCAGCGATACTTTATGGTTGAGCATTGGTTCTCGGTTGATCCAAACGATATAGGAAGATATCCTCAGAGATACTTCGGTATGGTGTATTAATTCTCAATACAAATGTTCATTAGTAAACACTTTATGTCTAGATAAATATACCTTCGTTTATAATATGTGACTGACGACAAAAGATAATATCATCCATTTCTTGAGTTTCTCCTGGTAGAATAAGATCGATTTTCGATACAGATGAAAAACATGTATCAATTTGATTGATGGTTTGATTCGGTGAAAAAAGTTGTTGAAAACAATATTCCAATCTTCGACCTATATTTGTAACTGTAATTTCATCAAATAAATCATGTGAACAAGTTAAATGAAATGATAATCTATTATTTTCTAACATTGGATTATAGACAAACATTAACAAAAAATCAAACTTAGCTACTTCAAACGATCGTTCGAATGACACTTGCTTGAAACTTGCTCCATCCAAAGATAATCCATCGCTGTGTGACGATATAGTTATAAAGTCATACATTGTTTCAAGAAATGAAATATTTGATTGATCAATATGTAAACTGGAAAGAATGTGTTGAAGTGGATAATGAGAATGTTCAAGAATTAACAAACATTTCTTTCGTACATATTCAACAAGCTCATCAAATGAACAACGAGGATCGACTTGAATACGATATGGTAGTGTTGAAACGAACATTCCCATTATATTGTGTAGTTCAGTTCTGTATCGATTAGCATTAAGACATGAGATACATAAATCATTTTCACCATGAGTTAACTTGAAAAGAAAAGCATATAATATACTCAAACCTAACTGAAATAGTGTCACATGATGTATAGAAGCATAATCAAGAAATGATTGTGAAATATCGTTGTCAAAAGAGATTTGAGTAGTACAAGCAGAACTCGATCGATGATCATTAGATAAACGATGTCGATCAACTGGTAATAATAATCGAGATTTCAAATTGTATTCTTCTAATTGCAAACACCAAAATTCACGAGATGTTGTCATATCAATTACACGTTCATGTATACTATAATCAATATATTGCAACGATTCATCATCATCTTCTATTGATGTTGCATTAGTATTATATGCTAAACACAGATCACTGAAAAAGATCGAAGAACTTGCTCGATCAAATGCTGCATGATGAAAAGCAATGAGAAGAACATCAGAATTGGTTATGAATTCATTCCTACTATTTTCATTTTCATTTTCATCTAGTGATATTTGATGTCTCAGGATTTCAGCATGAAAAACACGACCAGTTGATAAATCGAAGAGATTAGAATTAATCGTTGTTCGATAAATAATGTCTTGAAGTTCATTTTCATTTTCAAATGATTGATTCATAGCTATTGTGAATGTTTTATGTATATCTGTGATGCATTGTTTCAAAATACCATTATCATTGTTAAACACAAGAGATGTCCGTAATATTTTATGTTTATTCAAAACATATCGAAGTGCTTGTAGTAAACGATTGACTGATAATGATCCTTGAACAACTTGTACACTATCCAGTTCATTATAGATAGCAATATCACTCGAAAAACGAACTTGTTCATCGAGAAAGATACGTTCTTGAGCAAAAGAGGCAATACCTATCAATTAAATAGTTGAAATTATTTTAATAATTTCCTAGCAAAGATTTCTACCTTCATTGATATGTAATGTGTACCATTGTGTTGCCTTGATATTATTCATTAAAGCTGTTTGAAGTATTTGTGAATGTTGAAATATAGTTGGTTGTTGAAGAAATGGAGCAATCGAAAGTGTATGAGCATCAAAGTTAAATACTGATTGATAATGATGATAAAGTTCAATAAACAAAAGTGAATGACCACCAACACTGAAAAAACTGGTAGTTCTAGCAATGTGGTTTTCATTACAATGAAGAACTTGACACCAAATAGTGAGTATACGTTCTTCGAACTGATTAAGAGGAATATCAGACTTATCGGACGATAACAAAGTCGATAAAGAAGATTGGGGTAAAGGAAGTTGTTTTCTGTCTATTTTTCCATTTGGATTCAAAGGTAGTTTATCAAGTATAATAAAGAAAGATGGAATCATATGTGGTGGAAGGTGAGATTGACAATGTTCCCGCAATTCCTGTTCATTAACATGAGAAGATTGAATATAAGCAACTAAATAATCATCTTTCCATTTCATGACAACACAAGCAGAGATAGATGTAATGTTAAGTAAACATCTTTCGATTTCACCAAGTTCAATTCTTTGTCCATGTAGTTTGATTTGATGATCTTTTCTTCCTTGATAATAAAGAAGACCATTGATATCCATTGCAACAAGATCACCTGTTCGATAAAATAGTTGACCATCTATTTCAACAAGAGCTTTTGCAGTCAAATCATCACGTCCAAGATAGCCAGCAAAGACACCTACTCCTCCTACAGACAGTTCTCCTCCTTCCTGAATCATAACAGGTTGCAAGAAGTTGTTTAGAAGTAAGCATATGTAATGAGGTAGTTGTTTGCCAATTGGAAGATCATGCATGTGAGAGGTCACATCAATTAGGTGACATGAAGTTCCAAGTGTGGCTTCTGCAGGACCGTAAAAATTCCATATTTGACAGGATTGGGCAACAAACTGCATCAATATTTTAACGAAAGCTATTGACATAGATTCACCTAGGGTGACAAATTAATCGAGATTTATTTTATTTGTTATGCTCTTGCTCAACTTACCGACGCAGCTAATATTTCTCATTAGTATCCATGGAGAAAATCTATTTTGTTTGAGGAAGTCACATAAATGATTGAGATAACTCGGAACCGCTACCAGATATGTCACTTGTTTGTCATGTAAAATATGGTTGATATATTGAAAATCCATATTACCTTGTGGATGTAGCATGGCTATTGTCGCACCGCAGATTAGAGATCCTACAATTTCCTGTATGTGCGCGTCGAACGTTGAACTAGCAATTTGAATCATAATATCATCTTCGTGTAGTGCATCAATCCGAACAAAACCTAGTATTGAATTGATGAAATTCTGTTGTCTCAGTTGAACCTAGAAAACAACTTTCACTGTTAAATATACATCATGTGATAATCTTTCTATCGTACCGCTTTCGGAATTCCAGTTGAACCACTAGTGAAAATAGTATAGGCTATCTCTTCACCTTTCATTATCACACTTGAAAGACAATTATAATCTATGTCACTTTTCAGATCATTCATAATTAATATTAAATCAATATTAAGTGAAATAATATCATCATCAAATTTGGTCTTAGTTAAATAATGAACAAGAACAAGACGACATTGAGTTTGCTTTACTAGTGCATGTAAACGGTGTTGTGGATCTCGAGGTGATAATGGACAATAGACACCACCAGCCATTTCAATTCCCATTATACCAATCACCTAATCAAGAATCAATCTCAAACTATCATCAGTAGTTATTCCTCCGAAACAACTTACCATTGACAAACTTCGCTCAACACATTGACACACGATCTCACCTGGAAACACATGATACTCATTAAGAAGAGTTAAAGATAATATTTGAGCATAATGCAATAGTTCACAATATGTTAACGATTGTTCATCTAGTTCAACAGCTAGTTTTTGTGGATGTTTCATCACTTGATATACAAATGCATGGTGGATACAAGTGAAAGGAGATGAAAATGGTATTTGTGTATTATTCATTGATTGCATTAGATATTGCTCATTTGATAATATTAATGATAATTCAAAGATAGGCTTGTTTATTTCATTATCAATAATCCACGCAGATGATTGATGTAACATTGTTTGTAATCTTTGTGCAATTATAAAAATTGTTTCAGCATTGTATAAATCAACGGAAGCATTAATGGTACATGAGAATTCATTTAGATTCAGATCATGTTGAAAACTAAGAATGAAATCAAATTTACTCATTATTTCATCTTCACTTATCTTAATTGAAAAAGGTAGTAAAGAAAGTCGACTGTCACCAATCATTATTTCATCTTCCTCATCTCTTCTCATAGACGATATAAAGTCAAATGATGTATCAAGAAATACAGGATTTGATATATTTGGATGTTGATTGAGAATACGTTGAAGAGGAAAATATGAATATTTCATACAGTTTATCATGTTATCTTGAACGTGCTTGGTAAGTTTATGAAATGATAAATGAGGATCGAGTTGACATCGCAAAGGTATAGCATTCACAAACATTCCAATGATAGAGTGAAGTTCATCTCTATATCGGCCATGTGTATTTATTCCAATGCATAAATCTTTTTCTCCATTCGTTAATTGAAACAAAAACACATAATAAGCAGCAAGTGCAAGTTGTTCAAGCGATATGTTATTTGATAATGCATTAATAAGAAAATCATGTGAGAGATCTTGACCAAAATCAAATGAAATAGTTGTTCCACGACCAGTTCGATGCTCATTTGAGAGACGATATCGATCAAATGGTAATGGCAAAGATTGATCAAGTTTACAATCATGAAGAGCATCAAGCCAAAACATACTTGCACCAGTCATTGACATTTGTTGCTCAATAACAGCATCTATATAATTAAAAAAATACTGTATTAGTAAAAACAAAGGTACAAGAACTATTTGTATTTACAATCTAGATAACGTAGATTATTGTTATCATTGTTAGGTAGCTGTCTTGTTGTATATGCTTGATTGAGATCATGATGAAAAACTTTCATTGATGGAAAGTCAAAGAAAGCATGATGAAAGTTGAAGATAAGTATATCTTTGTGAGAAAGAAGATGATTTGAAGAGATCTGTTTGTAGTAAACAAGATGACATCGAGAGATGAGACCTTGAGCAAGATTAAAAAGATGAGGATTACGTTTCTCGTTGAGTAAAATCTCATTCAATTGTTCATCTGTTTCATAAGCAGTTTCGATGATGGAAAACATATCAGTGTAGTTATCGTTTTGTGTAATAACTTGTTGCATGAGTTGATTCTTTTGGATATCAAAATAAAGTGATGTGTGAAGTGAGAGATGTTTGTTAACAGTGAGATGAAGAGCATGACGAAGTTGTTTAATTGATAAAGTATGACCTGATTGCAGACGATAAACAAAAGGCATATTATAGATTGCTATTTGAGGCTTGTCAGGATCGAATCGAATTCGTTCGTCAAGCCATATACGAGCTTGTGCAAATGATGCTGGTGCTTGAATAATGAGAACTTACTGAATTGTAATGTAAAAGCTGGGTTGCCAAATGATGTTTGATAACATTATTCTAGTCCCTTTTCATTTAATAACCTCTCTCACTTAACAGAATCTTGTATTATGAGTGTTGGTCGATTATTTTTTGTTAGTAGAAATATGAACTAATTTGATACCTCAGAATGAAAAATTTAACACTATATGATATCGGATCCTTCTTCAAATATCAGGTATATTATTAGCCTTCATAAAATCCAATAGAACGATTTTGATCTGGGACTCTTTATGCGCCTTAATAGTACTATGTAATAGTTTTATGTTAATCTCTATGTGAAAAACAGAATAGTTCGGCACTTTTATTAAACTGGCATTGACATAATGCAAGTACTGAGACTCTCTAAAAAAAATAAAATTATTCGCTGATAGAAATTCATCTTTTAGAAATGAAACAGTATTGTTTTTCTATGAAAGTCGTCAGAATTTTTATTATGTTGACACAAATTCAATGTGAATGCCGAACTATTGTTTTTTCTACTATTAACATAAAAAGAACCATGTAATTTTGTAAAATTATAATATATAGTATTAGTATTTTCTTAGTATGAATACTAAGATGAGAGTCTCGGTTATTACACAGTTATCGCTATTGTTAGTTCCATATAAATCTATCCTATCCACTAAGTAGATCAAATTTATTTCTCTAGTTCATTCAAATGCACTCAAATATTTGCTAAATTTGTCTGTGATGATATGAAATCTTTATCTGTCTGTTGACTTTGTCTACTCATTTTCTTCCTTTTATGCTTCTTTTCATCGTATATATCCCTTAAGTCACCAAATAGTATTATAATACATTTGAAATACATATACAAGGTTAAATGATGGAATCATTATAGTTACTATATAAAATTTAGTTTGAAGTAAGTTGATGCGTTTGTATTCTTTTGACATATATTACTAGATTACTAAGATCTCTGCAGCTATGTAAGAGAATAATCTGAATAGAATATTCATATCAAATAAGGTCTATAACCAATAAGAATATGCATGATAAAAGCTTGAGTTATAGTATGTAAATGTGGCATCCTTCAAGGCATTATACAATGATTTGATAGATATCTAACTAATTTCTAAGTGTTATATACTGTCAATGTTTGACAATTTTTACAATCTACACACATACATCTAATCAGTGAAAACAATAAAAACATATTTGTACTAGCTTTGGATATAACGTTAGAAGAAAACAAAAGCAAACATAAATGTTTGATAGTAGAGAACTATGTGATGTAGATGTTTTATGATTAAACAACCCACGTATGACTCCGAGAAGCTTCTTCCCTGTGATTCTAAATCCGATTACATGGTTTTTTATTTTTTTACTTCGATTTCGATTTCGACGCCCAAAAACTTTGACAATTTATTATTGATAACTAGTGGCGTATCACATACTTAGTACTTAATCTACTTAGGAGTCAAAGAGGACTAGTCTCGCCAATGACAATGCACATTAATGCATATTTTGCATTACTGATTTAGCTGACTACAACTTTTATAAAACAATAGGACAAGCTGTATACAATCATACCTTCATTCACAATATTCTCTAATCGATAAAACACGACTAATTCCATTTCTTCAGCTTCTTCGGGAAGAATAACACATACATTGTTAATCGATGAACTCATATTCATCGTAGGAACGTTACTTGATTGTGTTTGAAATAGTTGCTCAAACATATATTCAAATCTATGACCTATTTCTGAAATAGTTGATTTTTCAAATAAATCATGTGAACAAACAAAACTACATGATAATCTCCTGTTATCTGGTAATGAATTGTATTGAAATGTTAATGAAAAGTCAAATTTAGACACTTCAGCTGATTGTTCTAACAATACTTGTTCTAAATCTGTATCATTTAAACATAAATATTCGACATCTTTTGACACAGTAATAAAATCAAACATTGTTTCAAGAAATGATACATTTGATTGAGTAAGATACAAATCAGCAAGAATATGTTGAAGTGGGTAATGAGAATGTTTAAGAATTGATAAACATTTTTCTTGTACATATTTAACTACTTCATGAAATGGCCAATAGGGCTCAAGTTCAACACGATATGGTAATGTCGATACAAACATTCCAATCAAATTCACTAGTTCACTTCGATATCGATTAGCATAGATAGAAGAAATACATAAATCAATCTCACCATGAGTTAATTTGAATAGGAAGACATAAAATATAGATAATCCAAGTTGAAAAAGTGTGAAATGATGTGTTGATGCATAGGTGAGAAATGATCTACATATTTCATCATCAAAAGTGATTTGAGCTGAAGAAGCTAAACCTGATCGTTGTTGATTAATTGATGAACGTTGTCGGTCAGCAGGTAACGATAACTGACGTGTGAGATTATATCCTTCAAGTTGAGAATGCCAGAATTCACGAGATAATGTCATATCCATTATGTGTTCATGAATAGAATAGTCAATATATTGGAATGAATTGTCATCTATACGAAGTAAGTCATTAGATTGATAAGCAAGAGAAAGATCTTGAAGAAAGAGTGATGTTGATGCTCCATCAAACATCGCATGATGAATACTAATTAATATGTGATCATTTTCACTCAATTGATCATCATCCGCAAATGAGATGCTATCTTGAGATTGATGATAATGACGAAGAATATGACAACGAATCACACGTCCGTTTGATAAATCAAATAAATCAGCTTGATTTAATATTTCCTCGAAAATTTTGTTCATATGACGACGATCATCATTATGAAGATTAACGACTGTCAATCTACATGCTTCTAGATCATTGTTGAGAATGATATTTGCATCTAAACAGTGTTGTATAATATTACTATTTGTATCATCAATATAAAGTGCTGTTCGAAGAATTTGATGTTTTTTTATAATAGATTGAAATGCATGTTGTAATCGAGTGATGGATACATTATCATTCGTAGATAATATGCGATAAAGTAATGGAATAACATACGTATTATTTCTCGTTGTTTTAGATGAAAAACGAATTTGTTCATCTAAATAGATTCGTTGTTGTGCAAATGATGCTCCAGCTACAATAAGAAAACAACGACAAATATATAGTTGATGATAGTATCTAGTACAAATTGTTCTATTTACCTTGAATGAGATATAATGAAGACCAATGATAATCATCAAGACTGTGAATGGTATTGATAGATTGCTGAATGAGTTGAGCATGATGAATAATTGTTGGATGTTGAAATAAGTCGGTAATAGAAAGAGCATTTGTTTCTAAATGAAACTCGCTCTTGTATCGATGAAAAAGTTGCATGATAAGTAATGAATGACCACCAATAGTAAATATATTTGTATCAGTTGAGATTTGATTTTGTTTTAGTATATCACACCAAATGCGATGAAGATTAACTTCAAAATCATTTATTGGTAGTAATAGTTCTATACTGTTCGTAAGATGTTTAGATGAAAAGTGAGGTGAAGGAAGAAGTTTTCGATCTATTTTACCATTTTGATTCAGAGGTAGTTTATTAAGTATAATAAATATTGATGGAATCATATGTGGTGGAAGATGAGATTGACAATGTTGACGTAGTTGTTCTTCGTTGGTATGAGAAGATTGAACATAAGCAACTAAATAATCGTCATTCCATTTTATGACAACACAAGTAGACACAAGTGAAGATGTATTCATAAGACATTTCTCAATTTCAGCCAATTCAATGCGTTGTCCTCGTAACTTTACTTGATGATCTTTTCTACATTTGAAATAAAGAAGACCTTGATAATCACATTGAACAACATCACCACTTCGATAAAAGACATCATTATTAATCTCAACCAATACTTTTGCTGTTAAATCATCACGACCAAAATATCCAGCAAATACACATGCGCCACCAACAAATAATTCACCTTCTTGATTAACAACAGCAAATTGAAAATAATCATCCATAATTGCACAAATATAATTAGGAAGGAGTTTTCCAATTGACATCAGCTGTTTATCACAATCAAAATCAAATCCTATTTGGAAATATGTTGTAGTAATTGTTGCTTCAGCTGGCCCATACACATTCCATAGTTGACAGCCACCCGACGACGACAATGATGATGGTACAGATACATATTTTTTTAAACGGGACATTATTTGATTTGTTAAAACATCACCTAGAAATGAAATAAATCCTCTTGTTTCTCATTAAAAATATTCAATTTCAATAAATTTACCTCCACTACACAATGTTCGCAATTTCTTTAAACATTCAGTCGCATTTTGTATTTCAAGATGCTGACATAATGTATCAAGATAACTTGGTACAGCATCCATAAAAGTAACATCTTTGCCCACTAATTCATGAATAAGATAAGTTAAATCTTTATTACCATGCGGATGTAGCATAACTAAACCAGCACCACTCATTAATGCTACAAAAGTATCTTGAAAATGAGTATCAAAAGAACAACTTGCCATTTGTATTACATTGTCACTTTTTTTCAATGTTGTCATTTTAGCAACACTTTGCATATAAGCAGTTAAATTACGATGTCGCACTTGAACCTAGATATATATATAAATATACAAATAAAGAATTCAAAGAATTATATTAAACAAACCGCTTTTGGTATTCCTGTTGAGCCACTTGTAAAAACAATGTATGATATATCGTCTGGAGTTATTGAAGTATTTGATAATTGATAAGGATCATCATTTGTAATTTTATCATTAATGTTTATAGCTGTATCAATATCATATGTAATAAAATTATTTTTAAATATTCGATTTGTTAATGAATGAACAACTATAAGACGAGCTTGTGTTTGTTCTACAAGATTTTGAAGACGTTGTTCAGGATTTTCTGGTGACAATGGACAATACACACCTCCAGCCATTTCAATTCCCATAATACCAATCACCTAATCAAAATCAATCTCAAACTCTCATCAATAGTTACTCATCTTCATTAACTTACCATTGACAGACTTCGCTCAACACATTGACACACGACCTCACCTGGAAACACATGATATTCGTTAAGAAGAGTTACAGATAAGACTTGAACATAATATAGAAGTTCACAGTATGTTAATGATTGTTCGTCTAGTTCAACAGCTAGTTTTTGTGGATGTTTCATTACTTGACATACAAACTCATGATGGATACAAGTGAGAGGAGATGAAAATGATATTTGTGTATTATTTAACGATTGCATTAGGTATCGTTCATTTGATAATGCTGAAGATATTTCATAGATTGGTTTGTTTATTTGATTATCAATCATAGATGTAGATAGTTCATGTAAGATGGAATGAAACCGTTGTGAAATGTTCTTTATTGTTTCTCGATTGAATAAGTCAAGTGATGCACTGATTGTGCATGATAGTTGACTCATGTTCAAATCATGATGAAATAAAAGAGAGAAGTCGGATACTCTTAGTATGTCATCTTCATTAATATCGAATGACAGAGATTCTGGAACAAGCTGAGAATCACCAATCATGGTTGCTTTGCTGCTCTTGTATGATATAAATTCCAGAGATGTATCGAGAAATGCATGTTTGGAAATATGTGGATGTTGATTGAGAATACGTTGAAGTGGAAAATATGAATATTTCATACTATTTGTTGTTATGTCTCGAACATGCCCGAGCAGTTGATGAAAAGACCAGTGTGGATCTAATTGACAACGTAATGGAATAACATTTTCAAACAATCCAATGATTGATTTCAATTCATCTCTGTATCGATTATTATTGATGTTCATAGCAAGACATAGGTCTATTTGTCCATTAGTTGATTTAAATAGAAAGATGAAATAAACAGCAAATGTGAGATATTCAAGTGATATGTTGTTTGATGATGCATGAGTAAGATAGTCATGTAAGAGATCTTGACCAAAATCAAATGAAATAGATATCGAATGACCAGTTGGATGTTCATTTGAGAGATGATATCGATCAAATGGTAATGACAAAGATTGATCAAGTTTACAATCATGAAGAGCATCAAGCCAAAACATACTTGCACCAGTCATTGACATTTGTTGTTCAATAACGACATCTACATAAGTGAAGAAGATAATGTATTAGAAAGAAGAAAAGTAGAAGTAGTATTTATATTTACAATCGATATAACGTAGAGTAGTGTTGCCATCATAAAATAATTGCCCTGTTGTATATGCTTGATTGAGATCATGAAGAAAGATATTCATTGATGGAAAGTCAAAGAAAGCATGATGAAAGTTGAAGATAAGTATATCTTTGTGAGAAAGAAGATGATTTGAAGAGATCTGTTTATAATAAATAATGTGACATCGAAAGACAAGACCTTGAGCAAGATCAAAAAGATGAGGATTACGTTTCTCGTTGAGTAAAATCTCATTGAGTTGTTCATCTGTTTCAAAAGTAGTTTCGATGATTGAAAACAAACTATTATTATTATTATTATGTTTATGTTCATGAGTAATAACTCGTTGCATAAGTAGATTCTTTTGGATATCAAAATGAAGTGGTGTATGAAGTGAGGGATGTTTTTTAACAGTGAGATGAAGAGCATGGCGAAGTTTTTTGATTGATAAAGTATGACCTGGTTGCAGACGATAAACAAAAGGCATATTATAGATTGCTACTTGTGGCTTGTCTGGATCGAATCGAATGCGTTTATCAAGCCAAATGCGAGCTTGTGCAAATGATGCTGGTGCTAGAATAATGAGAGATTTGTGAATTATAATGTAAAACCTCGATGGCCAAACGATATTTGGTAACAATATTCTATTCACTTTTCACCCAATCGCCTCTCTAACTGAACAGAAATTGTTTTCTGACACAACATCTACGAGCGTATCTCAGGTCTGGGAGAGTGCCAGTTTATATACAAACAGGCTAATGAAAGATCCTACTATCGTTAGTTATTCTGTTTTTTACAATGAAAAATATAATTTACGAGTAACAGCAAGTGTTAATTTTTGTTGATAAATATAAAAATACGAGACTATTCACGTATTCGAAGCAGATATTCATCAGAAATCTTTACAATTTAACTTCAAATTCTCTCGTGAAAAATTTCTTGATAAGTCCAACTCACTTTCAGCGTCTTCAGTGGTCTCGCGTTAAAATTTACAGAACTAGAGCATCTGAAAAAGACAACCTGAGTCGCTGACGATCACAACTCATTTAAATCCTTATTTTCTCATTATTTATTCCGTTAGAATTCATTCAAAAACTGAAAATACTATGTCTGTACATTGGAATGTACTTATATGCATATTTCTCATTACTAATTTAGCTGACTACTACTTTTATAAAAGAATAAAACAAGCTGCATACAATCATACCTTCATTCACAATATTCTCCAATCGACGAAACACGATTAATTCCATTTCTTCAGCTTCATCAGGAAGAATAAGACACACTTTGTTAATCGATGAACTCACATTCATCACAGGAATGTTGCTTGATTGCGTTCGAAACAATTGCTCAAACATATATTGAAATCTTTGAGCTATTTTTGAAATACTTGATTTTTCAAACAAATCATGTGAACAAACAAAACGACATGATAATCTCTTGTTATCTGATAATGGATTGTGTTCAAATGTTAAAGAGAAGTCAAATTTACACACTTCAGCTTCTTGCCCCAATGGTATTTGTTCTAAATTTGTATCATTCAAACATAAATGTTCGACATCTCTTGACACACTGATAAAATCAAACATTGTCTCGAGAAATGACACGTTCGATTGATTTAATTGATTATCACCGAGAATATGTTGAAGTGGATAATGTGAATGTTCAAGAATTGATAAACATTTCTCTCGTACATATCTAATAAGATCATCAAATGACCATTGAGGATCAATTTGAATACGATATGGTAATGTTGATACAAACATTCCTATCATGTTCACTAACTCACTTCGATATCGATTAGCATTAATAGAAGAAATACATAAATCATTTTCACCATGAGATAGTTTGAATAGGAAGACATAAAATATGGATAATCCAAGTTGAAAAAGTGTGAGATGATGTGATGATGCATAATTTAGAAATGATGTGCATAATTCATTATCAAAGTTGATTTGAGCTATAGATGCTAAACCTGATCGTTGTTGACCAGTTGATGAACGTTGTCGATCATATGGTAATGATAATGAACATTCGATATTATATTCTTCAAGTTGAGACTGCCAGAATTCACGAGACAATGACATATCCATGATATGTTCATACACAGAATAATCTATATAATTCAATGAGTTAGCATCTACAGATAAAGAGTCATCAGACTGATAAGCAAGAGAAATATCATGAAGGAAAATCGATCTTGATGCCCCATCAAACATTGCATGATGAATACTAATCAATATGTGATCATTTTCAGTCAATAGATCATCATTCTCATATGAGATAACATCTTGAGATTGATGACAATGACGAAGAATATGACAACGAATAATATGTCCTTTTGATGAATCAAATAAATCAGCTTGATTTAATATCTCTGTGATAGTTTCATTCATATGACGATGGTCATCATTATGAATATTAACAATCGTCAATGGATATGATTTTATATCATCGTTAAGAATGATGTCTGCATTTAAACAGTGTTGTATAATATTAGCATTTGCGTCATCAATATAAAGCGCTGTTCGAAAAATATTATGTTTTGTGATAATACTTTCAAATGCATAATGTAATCGAGTAATTGATACATGATCACTCATAGATGATATACGATAAAGTAATGGAATAACATACATATTCTTCATCATTGTTTTGTTGGATGAAAAACGAATTTTTTCATCTAAATAGATTCGTTCTTGTGCGAATGATGCTCTACCTAGAATGAGAAAGAAAGAGATGAATATGTAGTATATGATAATCTCTAGTTCAAGCTGTGTTGTTTACCTTGAGTGAGATACAATGATGACCAAGGATCATCATCGAGAGTGTGGATGGTATTGATAGATTGCTGAATGAGTTGAGCATGATGAATAATGGTTGGCTGTTGAAATAGATTCGAAACAGAAAGAAAATTTGTTTCTAAATGAAATTCGATCTTGTATCGATGAAAAAGTTGCATGATAAATAATGAATGACCACCAATAGTAAAGATATTTGTATCAGTTGAGATCTGATTTTGTTTAAGTATCTCACACCAAATACGATGAATGCTAACTTCAATATCGTTTGTCGGTAATAATAGATCTATACCGTTGGTGAGATGAATAGATGAAAAGTGAGGTGGTGGTAGAAGTTTTCGATCTATTTTTCCATTTTGATTCAAAGGTAATTTGTCAAGTATAATGAATAATGATGGTATCATATGTGGTGGAAGATGTGATTGACAGTGTTGGCGTATTTGTTCTTCATTGATTACAGATGATTGAATATAAGCAACTAAATGATCATCTTTCCATTTCATGACAACACAAGCAGATATAGCTGTGATGTTAAGCAAACATCTTTCTATTTCACCAAGTTCAATTCGTTGTCCATGTAGTTTGATTTGATGATCTTTTCTTCCTTGAAAATGGAGAAGACCATTGTCATCCATTCTAACAAGATCACCTGTTCGATAAAATGGTTCACCATCTATTTCAACAAGAGCTTTCACTGTCAAATCATCACGTCCAAGATAACCAGCAAAAACACCCATACCTCCAACAAATAATTCTCCTTCTTGATTAATAGTTGTACTTTGTAAAAATTTATTTAAAATCAAGCTTCGATAGTTAGGAAGTGATCTACCAATTGGAATGCTTCTAGAATTAGCTTTAACATCAATAAGATGAAGTGTACAGGCAATGGTTATTTCTGCAGGACCGTAATAATTCCATACACTATACTCTGACACACTATTATTTGCGATCAGAGTACTTAGTTTAACAGAGAATGGTTCACCTATAAAGATAGATACAGTAGAACAACATGCAAAAGTTCATCCCTAAACTACCTACCGCCACTACAAAGTGATCGAAAATATTTTGAAGTAGTTGTCTTGCTAGACTGTTCGATAAGTGTGAAAAAGCTCTGAAGTAAACTCGGAACCATCAAAATGTATGTAATTTGTTTCATCCGCACGATATTCGAGAGATAGTCGAAATCGATCGTCCCTCTTGGATGAAGCATAACCAATGTAGCTCCATGCATCAAAGCGCCAAGTATTTCTTGAATATGAATGTCAAATGAACTGCGCGCAATCTGAACGACAGTATCATTTTTGTTCAATACGTCGATGCTGACTAATGAGTTCATAAAATGAATGAGATTTTCATGGCGTGCTTGAATCTGTTAGAATAGAGAACAATGAAAACTAAGGTAGAAATACAAATGTCAACATACTGCTTTTGGTACTCCAGTTGAACCACTAGTGAAAATGATATAAGCAATGTCACTAGGTGTGACTGTAACAGTTGATAGTCGATCAGTATAAACATCGCTCATTACATCATTATTAATCAATACTGAATCAATATCTGTCGTAAGAATATCATTATTAAACTTCATTTTTGTAAACGAATGAATAAGAACCCGACGACTTTGTGTGTGTTGTGTGAGTGCATGCAAACGATGTTGTGGATCTCGAGGTGATAATGGACAATAAACACCACCAGCCATTTCAATCGCCATAATGCCAATCACCTAGTTCAAACGAACTTTTTTTATTTTAAACAATTATTTCTTCAGTGAACTTACCATTGACAAACTTCGCTCGACACATTGACACACGATCTCACCTGGAAACACATGATATTCATTAAGAAGAGTTAAAGATAATACTTGAACATAATATAGAAGTTCACAATATGTCAATGATTGTTCATCAAGTTCAACTGCTAGTTTTTGTGGATGTTTCATTACTTGATACACAAATTTATGATGAATACAAGTGAGAGGAGATGGAAATAATATTTGTGTATTATTCAATGATTGCATTAGATATTGTTCATTTGATAATGTTAATGATAACTCATAGATTGGTTTGTTTATTTGACTATTAGAAGATGTAAATTGTTGATGTAACATTGTCTGCAATCTTTGTGCAACTATACAAACTGTTTCAGCATTAAATAAATCAAGCGATGCATTGAGTGTGCATGAGAATTCATTTAGATTCAGATCATGTTGAAAACTAAGAATGAAATCAAATTTACTCATTATTTCATCTTCACTAATCTTAATTGAATAAGGTAGTAAAGAGAATCGACTATCACCAATAATTATTTCATTCTCTTCATCTTTTGTCATAGATGATAGAAATTCAAATGATGTGTCAAGAAATACAGGATTTGATATATTAGAATGTTGATTGAGAATACGTTGAAGAGGAAAATAAGAATACTTCATATAATTTATCATATTATCTTGAACATGCTTAGTAAGATCATGAAATGATAAATGAGAATCGAGTTGACATCGCAAAGGTATAACATTCACAAACATTCCAATAATAGGGTTAAGTTCATCTCTATATCGACCAAGTGTATTTATTCCAATGCATAGATCTTTTTCTCCATTCGTTAATTTGAACAAAAATCCATAATAAGTAGCAAGTGCAAGATATTCCAGAGATATATTATTTGATGATGCATAGAGAAGAAAGTCATGTGAGAGATCTTGACCGAAATCAAAAGAAATAGATGTTCCACGACCAGTTCGGTGTTCATTTGAGAGACGATATCGATCAAATGGTAATGATAAAGGTTGATCGAGTTTACAATCATGAAGAGCATCAAGCCAAAATATGCTTGCACCAGTCATTGACATTTGTTGTTCAATCACAGCATCTATGTAATCAAAGGAAAGAACTCATTAGTAAAGACAAAGGTACAATAACTAATTATATTTACAATCAAGATAACGAAGATTAGTGTTATCGTCACTTATTAATTGACCTGTTGTATATGCTTCATTAAGATCATGAAGAAACATTTGCATTGATGGAAAGTCAAATAAAGCATGATGAAAGTTAAAGATAAGTAGATCTTGATCAGAAAGTAGATCATTTGAAGAGATTTGTTTATAATAAATAATATGACATCGAAAGACAGGACCTTGTGTAAGATCAAAAAGATGAGGATTACGTTTCTCATCGTGTAAAATCTTCTTAAGTTGTTCATCTGTTTCATAAGTAGTTTCGATAATTGAAAACGTATCAGTACAATTATCTTTTCGTGTAATAACTCGTTGCATTAGTAGATTCTTTTCGATATCAAAATGAAGTGATGTGTGAAGTGAGGGATGTTTGTTAACAGTGAGATAAAGAGCATGACGAAGTTGTTTAATCAATAAACTTTGGTTTGATTGCAGACGATAAATAAAAGGCATATTGTAGATTGCTATTTGAGGCTTGTCTGGATCGAATCGAATTCGTTCATCGAGCCAAATACGAGCTTGTGCAAATGATGCTGGTGCTATAACAAAGAAATACATTGAAATCGAACTAGGTTTACCGATTAACAAATGTGTCTTTAGAATTCATCTGGCTCATTACTCAGTTGCTCCCTTTATTTAATTAAATGATTCAATTGATATTACTGTCTCAAATATTCATAATCTCGAATAGTCAAAAACATGAAAACTTCACATATGAATATATGATAAGTTTGTAAGTTTTTTATATTCAACATTAACACAGATTTTTTTTAAGGTAAACCGTGAAATTTTCTACAGATCATACAATGAGCGATTTTTTTACAAATTAGAAAAGTAAAAGGCTACATGAGGAAATCTCATCCAACGTTTTTTACTCTTCATATTTTAACAATGCCCTATGATGAGAATACTAACTAGAAACGTATGGATGTTGGTGACGCATCATAATATGATAAATTTGTTTTTTGTCTCAGAACGTCAAAAAACAAAAGAAAAGATATGTTTTTGGAAATTGAGATTCTCACGAATTTTTAGGCAGTATTTCACTTTTATATTCGGAATACAGCATTTACTACATATTTTATGAAGAACTTCACGGCCCATTGTTCGAAAAATAATCTGTGTATTAACTTTGAATATTGAAAAAAGTAATATTTAAAATATGATGCGATTATAAATTAGAATATACTTTTTATAATGTCTTAATAGCTCTTCACAATTAATGCGTCGCCTATACTTTCTTCATATATACACCTTTTCAAATAAAAGTTGTCCGAAAAATGTATCATAGTTTAAGGTAGCTAATTTTCCAAAGTATAAACACAAAATTAATTTTAAGACTGATAATAATTTTAAGTAAAATCTACTTTTAATTCATTTTCGTATTACTAAATAAAGTGAAAGAAGGATAATCAGTTAAATGTTAATGTTGTGTTACAGATGTTGATTTTTACTTACGCATGTATGGCACATAAGTTATTGAAACATCGAATTTATTCCTATTGATCATATTCTTATATTCATTATCATGTATTAAAATAAAATTTACTAAAAAATGGTTAGTTTTATTTAAAATTATAAATATAGATTCGCCTAAAAAGCGTCAAACTATAGTGTAAACGAGCGATTTGCACTTAAACAGTGTTTAATCTTATTTAAAAAAGATAAGTTAGCGTCACTAAAATATGTTGTTTTAATTAATTTTTGCAGAAACAAAGTTAACGATGTTATTGTTAGATTATTATAAGATAACAAAAGTGTCATCGATATTTATATAATTAATTATGTTCTGAATTAAATCTGAATTTTATTATGCCAAATAAATATTTCAAAAAAAAACGACTTATATTTAAACGAGCAATAATAAAATCGAAATGAGCAATAACGAAATTTAGCAATAATAAAATTGAATGGGCGATAATAGTACTGAATGAGCAATAAATATACTGAATGAGCAATAATTATACTAAATGGGTAATAAATATATTAAATGAGCAATAATTAAACTAAACGAGCAATAAATCGTATGTGTAAGGAGCAATATAAATCCAGGTGTTAAATTCCCTCTATAACAGAAGACCCCCTCTCAATAGAAGAACCTCCAATAATAGAAGACCCTTCTGGAAAAAATTTCTATACAAATTATGTGTATTTTGATGAGGATTTCAGTAAATTTAGACTTAGTTTGAGAAATATAATAGAAGACCCGGTGGTCTTTTATTATGGACTGGGGTTTACAGCACTATTCGTCTGTGTTAGATATTTTCTTTTCATTCTTTTGATTGTATCGTATAGGTGACTTATCCAGGATCTACACATATTTATTGTTTTTTCCATTTTATCTGAAGTATTTTCCAAGCGTTGACTCGTTCAAGTACTTTTCTTTCTCCTTATTTTTCCCTCATTGTCTTTGAATTTTTCCATCCTGTTTATGTGTATATATCAGAGGTGGAATCGGTTCGTAATTTTTTGGAATCGAAACGAATTCTACCAAAAAATTGTCAAACCGAATCTAACCGAATCGAGCTCAAAAGAAGTGAAGTCTATGGCAAGTTAATCAATAAGTCAGCTTTTCTCAAGGGTGGGTGTGGGTCCGTGTATATGTTCACTTCATCATCATTCATACTAACACCCACACTTTCAAGAGGCTGACCATGTAAAGCAAAAGAAGCTTTATTGCTACAATAGTATATTTATTGCTCATTTTCTTTTTTCTTATGACCAATTGTAGAAATAAAAACTGGTGTTTTTTTTTTCTTATTACTAAAATATGAAATTAATATTACTATTTGATGGATTAATTATTACCCATTTCATAATTTAAAACTGCTCAAAAAAGATTTTTTTATTGCTCAAAGATTATTGCTAATTCGTATTTTAATTATTGCTCATTCAGTCACTATTAGTGCTCATTTAAATACTAGCCAATAAAAACTATATAAAACTTTATAAACTAAACTATGTTTCGCTCAGTTGTCATATTATTCTTAGTATTCTAGCCGAAAACTATCATACCTAAAACTTATCACGATTCTTATGCTTATCATTACTACAAAACCTCATATATCTATACTATATAACATCCTATCTGGAAAAAAACTTTTGAAAGGTTTTCACATTGAAAATTAGTAAGATCTTTTCATATTGTATATTTTTATTCTATATTAAAAAATAGATTAACGCTATCAATTTTGAACCAACACAAGTCAATCAATATTTTTAACTTTGAAAATATAATATTTATACGTATCATTCGTGTCTCTCTCATCTAACTGATCTATATCAATAAAAGTACCATATGTATGGTAAACAGGAAAAAGACATACCTTCATTCGTCACATTTGATTGACGGTCAAAAGCTACGTGTTGCATTTCATTCACTTCATCTGGTAGGACAAGAGTAAGTGTGGCAATAGGTGAAACTACTAAATCAGTTTGATTAACGTTGAAATTCATTAAAAAAAGTTGTTCTAAAAGATATTGAAATCTTTGTATCATTTCTGTAACTGTCTTATCTTCAAATAGATCACGTGAACAAATAAAACGACATGACAATATGTTGTCATCCGAGAATGGATCGTAAATAAATTTCAATGTAAAATCAAACTTAGCCACTTCCGAAAGGTGTTCTAATGATACAGGTTGTAAGCTAACATCATCGAAAGTGAATTGATCATTAACTGAAGATTCAATAATGAAATCAAAAACTGTTTGAAGAAAAGGAGCAGTTGATTGATCAAGATGAAAATCACGAAGAATATGTTGAAGTGGATAATGAGAATGTTCAAGAATTGATAAACATTTTTCTCGTACATGTTTAGTAACTTCATCAAATGACCAACAAGGATCAAGTTGCATACAATATGGTAATGTTGAAACAAACATTCCTATCATAGTCTGTAATTCAGGTCTGTATCGATTAGCATTAACGCATGAAATCCATAACTCAGTTTGACGATATGTTAACTTGAATAAAAATGTGTAGAATGTAGCCAACCCAAGCTGAAATAGTGTCAAATGCTGTAAAGAAGCATAGTTAAGAAATGATGACGATATTTTCCTGTCGAAAGTGATTTGCACGGTAGAAGCGAAACCAGATCGTTGATCATTAGATAAACGCTGATGATCGATCGGTAATGACAATCGACGTTTCAGGTTACATCCTTCGAATTGTAAGCGCCAAAATTCACATGACAACGTCATATCAATGAGACGTTCATGGACAGCATAATCAATATATTGTAATGATTTTTCATCATCTAACCACGTCATGTGATTATTGTAAATATTACTTAGATCATTCAAAAAAATTGAGACAGCTGATCCATCAATTGAAACATGATGAAAGCCAATAACGAGAACATCAGAGTTTTTAATAATTTCTTTATCATGATTTTTATCAGATGTCATATGTTGTCTGAGAATTTGACAATAAAAAACACGACCACTTGATAAGTCGAACAAATTAGGACTAGTATTTATTTGTGAAATAATGTTGTGAAGATCAGTTTCATTTTTGAATGTTTGATCGGCAGCCAATGTAAATGTCAGATGTTTATCAGTGATACATTGTTTTAAAATACTGTCCTCATCATTGAAAACTACAGAAGTTCTTAATATCTTATGTTTGCTTAGGACATAGCGAAGAGCTTGCAATAAATGATTCACTGATAATAAGCCTTTCGTAACTCTTAAAATCATCAGCTCATTGTAAATGGCAATTTGGTTAGAAAAACGAACTTGTTCATCAAGAAATATGCGTTCTTGAGCATACGATACGATACCTAGAAATTTGTGAAAATAATATTTGGAGCTATTAAAAAAAGTAAATTAAAACTATTTTACCTTCATTGATATGCAGTGTATGCCATTGTTTCAGTTGTGCACCAGCAATGATGACTGTTTCAATTAGTTTTGCATGTTCTACTATGGTGTTATAGTCAAACAAGAATCGAATACTCAACGCTTCTCTTTCAAAATTAAATTTTGATTGATAATGCTGATAAATCTCAATAAGTAAAAGAGAATTGCCGCCAACGCTGAAGAAACTAGCTGTAGTAGATATAAGAAAAGATGTTTGTCTGTCTATACCAGAGACATTTATAGCTGGATCATCATGATGTATAGTAAGTCGATTTGTGTATAATATTTCTTGCCAAATGTTCGCAATCGTCTTTTCTAATTCAGTATTTGGTGCATCATAGGTATCTTCTTGTTGAAGCACTGATAGTGATATTTCTGGTAAAGCTTTTCGATCAATTTTACCATTTGGACTTAACGGAAACGATGAAACACTAATAAAATGTGATGGAACCATATATATTGGAAGCTTTTTCTTTAGACATATTCTTAATGTTTCACTCCAGCTTGGCATTGATTTTACTTTTGAAATGGTGCGTTCATTTTTTTGTTTATTGCTAATCTTTCCAATAAATAATGTATGTAATATATCATTTCCATTTAGTTTCTCATGAATAAGAATAGTATCTAATATATTATTAATTTTTTTTGGAAAATTCTCACGAGTACCAATTGGACACATACCGATATTCATTTCTATACAATGATCCATTAAGAATTGGGATATCTTTCCTATATTCATTACGCATTCTGATCGTCCAATGAAGAAGATTGCACATTGGCAATCATGGAATATGATTCTTGCACCATCGTGATCTTCAAAAAATAATGGTATTTCTTCTCGTGTAGTTTCATCTTCGACATCAAGAGATGTAACAGTATCATTTTCTTTATTATAAGTAAACCATTGATCTTTGTTATTGTTGACCGATTTTAGATAAATAACACATTGATAATTTTCATTTTCTACATTATTGGCATTATTCTGCTCATATGATGAAATTTTGAAACAACAATGTGTGTCATTCTCATCTATATTCAAAATATCACGAGTTATAGAGTCGCTATGAGAATTTTTCGAAAATGACAATCCCAATATTAACCCTTCTTTTTCTAATAATCCCATAACATATCCTGTTTCTAGCATACAAAATAGAGAACCCAATACTATTCCGTACAGTGGTGCAATTGCTGATGATCGCCCAACAAGATGTAAACGTATGTTCATAATTTCATTATTAATCTGAGTACTAATTAGCTCTAGAGTATGTTCATCTGGATTATGATAATAGATACCAGGCAAGATATTATCTATAGATCTTGGTAACTCAACATATACCTGTACTGGATAAAGAGTTCCAGCTGATCCATAACGATATTTTGGTAAAGGTTCTTCAGAAATACTGATGGGTGTTAATACCGATAATAATTGACAAAGAGTATCAAAATCGAGACGAGGTAAAGATATTTGTTTGTTTGTGTTGATATTATGACAACCTTTTAACAGCTTTTCAATGGTAGATCTTTCTATAGTTTCATTTGTAAATTGTCGATAACTTTTTCTCATATAATATGCATTGATTAATGTTTCTGTAAGCTTCGGTTTTGTTAGAGTAAAGCTCTTTTCTACCTTTTTTTGATGTCCTATACTGAGTCTTGCAAGCTTAAAATTGATATATTCACCAGGGTCAGTGATTATCATCTCTGTTGAATCAAATCCGCTAATAAGAATAAGATATTTTTCTGGCATAATATATCCAATTAAGCGTTTCGATTTGTCATCAATATTAACAATAGCTTGTTGAATATCTGGATGTTGTTGTAAATGATGTTCAATTTCACCAAGTTCAATACGATGACCATGTACTTTGACTTGAAAATCTTTTCGTCCCGTAAATTCAATATATCCATTTGGCAGAAATCGACCATAATCACCTGTTCGGTAGAGACGTTCATTAGTTAATGGATGAATAATAAAACTTGATTGTGTTTTTTCTTGATCATTCCAGTAACCATTAGCTAAACCTTCACCACCAATGTATAATTCGCCAATGACCCATTCAGGACAATCATCAAGATGTATATCATAAACATAATATTGTTGATTTCTTAATGGCATTCCATAAGGAATTGATTTCCATTCTCGTGGTATTTCTTTTGGTAGAGTATAGGCAATTGACCAAATCGATGCTTCTGTTGCACCACCTAAACTAGTTATTGTTACTTGTTCACCCAATGTTGTTTGTATTGAATCGGGTAAAGATAATGGTATCCAATCCCCACTCAATAAGATGTGTCGTAATTGATTATGATTATTTGTATATTTGAGGTGTTCAACAAACATTTGCATTAACATTGGAACACTATTCCAAATAGTGACATGATGTTTAATTATCATATCATACCAGTGTTCAGGATTTTTATAATCTTCATGATCTGGAATTACTATAGTTCCACCACCAATCAATATTCCAAATATATCATAAACTGATAAATCAAAATTGAGATGTGATAATGCAAATATTCTATCATTAGTTGAGATTTCTAATCTTGAATTCATATCAAGAATAGTATTTACTACAGCTTGATGACTAATCATAACACCTTTTGGTTTTCCAGTTGAACCAGATGTATAAATAACATAAGCTAAATCTGTTGCTAATTGTTGTTTGATAGGAAATGGTGTTGGATAATTATCATCAGTTGTGCATATATCAACTGAAATAGTTGTGAGATGTGGAAATCTATGTTGACAATGAGATTGTGTGAGAATAATCTGAACATTAGTTTCTTCAATTAATGAACAAAGACGATCATAGGGTGAATCAATATCCAAAGGTAAGTAAGCACTACCTGAAACTAAACTAGCTAAACAAGCAACAATCTGTTCCCAACCTTTCTTCATAAGAATAGCGGTGAGTTGATTGGAGTTTATTTCATGTTGTTGTTGTAGATTATATGCCAATGAATACACCCGATCCATTAGTTGTCTGTATGTTAAATTCACTTGAGAAGAGAGAATAGCTAATGCATTAGGTGTTAATTCAGCTTGTTTAATGACAAGTGAATGAAGTAGTTTATCTTTAATGTTTGATTCCCATTGTGTTTGATTGAAATCTAATCGTCGTTTTTGTTGTTCTGAGGGTAAAGAGATAAATATGGACTGTTGCCATGTATCATCAAACGAAGCTAATTTGACAAGTAAATCAACATATGTATCATGTATATGATTGATCATTTCCTTTCGAAATAAGTTGTCTACATATGTCCAATTTATTGATAAACAATCATTAATTTCCTCTACTATATGATCAATAAAAATTTGTGGTGTTTGACTAATTGCATAAACCGGCACTTGATCAAAAAATATATTATGTTCAACATTTTGCTCACGAATACCTTCAACATCTACTCCGCATGTGAAAACATACGGTAAAAGAATATCTCTTGTCTGATGTACCTGCATTAAGTCACGAATAAATGACACACCATCATAAGACATATGTTCAAGATCGTTCCATAATTGTTTCTGCACAGTGTCAATAAATTCATAATAAGTGATTATCTTATCCAAATTAATTTCCAATGGTATAACTGTTGTAAAATCTCCTGCTATTTGATTGACTTGCGGATGAATAGATAATCGATTGAAAACTGGTAGGTTCAAAGCAAAATGTTTATTTTCACTCCATTTACCCAATACTAAAGCGTAAATTGATGTCAAGAAACCGGCTGGTGTCAGCCCATAATCGGTAATACGTTTTCTTAATTTTTGACACAATGGTAGATCTAATATAGTTGCTACATTGCAATGACGTTGTACATGTATTTCGTTTGGCAAACACTGTAATGGTAAATTTGGACCTAATGGAAACGATTTTAAACGATTGATCCAGTACTGTCTATCACTGCTATAAATAGTCGTATTCTTCCATTGTCGTTGTGCCAGAATGTAATCTCGATAAGATAGTTTTAGTTCTACCAAGACATCATTCGAGTTATAATACAATTGATTTAATTCATGTAAAACTAAATTCATGCTCCAAAAATCCAAAATGAGCAAATCAAAACCACAATGCAAACGTATCTTATAACCGTCATCAATAATAAAGCGAGTTATTTGAAAATCAAATAACGGCCATTGATCAGCTGGTCGAACCTGATGTGATAGCTGTTCTCGTCGTTCTAGCAGATATTTCTGAGAAGATTGGACATCATCTAAGTTAAAAATAGATATAGTATAATAAGGAACTGTTTTGAGAATTTTCTGTTCAGTATGAGACGGAAAGATAAGACGCAATGCTTCATGTCGTTGGATTAAATAATTCAATGCTCGTTCTAAGCATTCGATGTCGAACATTGATGAGAAATCATATTCATTATAGTCAAAAACAGAAACATGACCAAGTTCAATGGCACCTTCACGTCCAACTAGATATGCTAGTTGAATGTCTGTAACGGGAAATGGTTCGTATCGTGACAACTCATCTGCGACAAGGATGATGTTCTCATGGGAGATGGAACAAGTACGTTTTCGAATAGATGTTTCTATGAACACAAAGAAAAAGTAAAAAGTAATAAGTGTGCAAAATTGATTAGATAATACAATATACCTTGCATAGTATGTACAGCAGACAAAAGTTTTTGATATGTTTCTGGATCATCTATTGATTGATAAATGAGACGAGCATGATCAGCAATGGTGAGATATTGGGACAGTTCAAAAATATTGATCTTAGTCGTATCACTGTTCACTGTCATCTTGTAATTATGGTATAATTGAACGAGTAAGATAGAGTGACCACCGATACTATAGAAATTTGTATCGATAGAAATTTTGGTTTGACGGAGAATCTGACACCACAATGAATGAATATAGATTTCAAGTTCATTGCTTGGCTCTATATGTTGGTGATGAGTCGTGTCAGGTGAATGAGACAAAAATTTTGGTATTGGTAAAGATTTTCGATCTACCTTTCCATTAGCATTTAAAGAGAACTTATCAAGAATAATAAAGAAAGATGGAATCATATGTGATGGAAGATAGGACTGACAGTATTGACGTAGTTGTTCTTCATTCACATGAGATGATTGAATATAAGCAACTAGATAATCATCATCCCATTTCATGACAATACAAGCAGATATTGATGTCATGTCAAGTAAACATCGTTCGATTTCACCAAGTTCAATTCGTTGTCCTCGTAATTTTACTTGATGATCTTTTCTTCCTTCATAATGCAGAAGACCATTATTTTTCATTCTAACAAGATCACCTGTTCGATAGAATATTTCACCATCTATTTCAACGAGAGCTTTTGCAGTTAAATCATTACGTCCAAGATAACCAGCAAATACACCTGCTCCTCCTACACACAGTTCACCTTCTTGGTTAACAGCACTAAGTTGAAAATATTCATCCATAATTGCACAGTGGTAATTAGGGAGTGGTTGTCCAATTGACATTACTTCTTTGTCACAATCAAAATCGAATCCTATTTGAAAATATGTTGTAGTAATTGTTACTTCAGCTTGTCCGTACATATTCCATAGTTGACAGCCATCCGACGATGATGATGGTATGAATACATATTTTTTCAAACGAGACATTATTTGATTTGTTAAAACATCACCTATAAATGAAATAAATTCTTTTCTTTCTCAAGAAGAATATTCGATTCGAATAGACTTACCTCCACTACACAATATTCGCAATTTCTTCAAATATTCATTTTGCATTTCAAGATGTTGACATAATGTATCAAGATAGCTTGGTACAGCATCCATAAAAGTAACATCTTTGTCCATTAATTCATGAATAAGATAAGTTAAATCTTTATTACCATGAGGATGTAACATAACTAAACCAGCACCAATCATTAATGTTCCTAAAGTTTCTTGAAAATGATTATCAAAAGAACAACTTGCCATTTGTATTACATTGTCACTTCTTTTCAATGTTGTCATTTCAGCAAAACTTTTCATATAAGCAATTAAATTACGATGTCGTATTCGAACCTAAATATATATATAGACATACAAATGAAGAATTCAAAGAATTATATTAAACAAACCGCTTTTGGTATTCCTGTCGAGCCACTTGTAAAAACAATATATGATATATTATCGGGAGTCATTAAAATATTTGATAATTGATAAAGATCATCATTTGTAATTTTATCATTAATGTTTATAGCTGTATCAATATCATATGTAATAAAATTATTTTTAAATATTCGATTTGTTAATGAATGAACAAGTATAAGACGAGCTTGTGTTTGTTCTACAAGATTTTGAAGACGTTGTTCGGGATTTTCTGCTGATAATGGACAATAAACACCACCAACTATTTCAATTGATAATATACCAATAATCTATTATTAGAGATTAGAGATAAATAATAATAATAATAGATTATTGTTTTGAAAACTTACCATTGATAAACTTCGTTCCATACATTGACACACAACTTCACCTGGAAGCACATGATATTCATTTAGAAGAATTGAAGATAAGACTTGAACATAATATAGAAGTTCCCAATATGACAACGATTGTTCATCCAATTCAACAGCTAGTTTTTGTGGATGTTTCATTACTTGGTATACAAATTCATGATGAATACAAGTGGAAGCAGATGAAAATGATACTTGCGTATTATTCAATGATTGCATTAGATACTGTTCATCTGATAATATTAATGATAGTTCATAGATAGGTTTGTTTATTTGATTATCAATAATAGATGTAGATAATCGATTTAAAGTGAAATGAAATCGTTGTGAAATCTGCTTCACTGTCTCTCTGTTAAACAAATCAAGTGATGCATTGATTGTACAAGAAAGTTGATTCATATCGAAATCATGCTGAATACTAAGAATGAAGTCAAATTTGCTCATGGTATCATCTTCACTAATCTTGATCGAAATAGGCATCCCAGTGAGATGACTATCACATATAATCACGTCTTTGTGGAGATCTTGTGGTGAATATTGCACGAACTCGAATGATCGATCAAGAAACGCAGGTTTCGAAGTATGTGGATGTTGATTGAGAATACGTTGAAGTGGAAAATATGAATATTTCATAGTATTTGTTGTTATCTCTTGAACATTTTTAACAAGTTTATGCAGAAACCATTGTGGATCTAGCTGACATCGTAAAGGAATAGCATTGACAAACATACCAATCACTGATCTAAGTTCATCTCTATATCGACCATCTTCGTTCATTCCAATGCATAGATCTGTTTCTCCATTCGTCAGTTTAAACAGAAAGACAAAATACATAGACAACGCCAGGTGTTCAAGCGAGATGTTTTGTGAAGATGTGTAGTGGAGGAAAGTGTCACAAAGATCTCGGTCTAAATCGAATGAAATAGATGTTCCAAAACCAGATCGATATTCAGTCGTAAGTCGATATCGATCATATGGCAATGAGAGAGATTGGTCTAATTTGCAATCATGCAGAGCACCATGCCAGAACATGCTTGCACCAATCATAGGCATGTGTTGTTCAATGACAGCATCTGAAGAAGAGAGAAAGACATGATATGATTATAAAGAGAGAAGTATAGACATTTACAATCGAGATAGTGAAGTCTGTTGTTGCTATCATCATTGAGTAGCTGACTTGTAATGTATGCTTGATGAAGATCATGGAGAAATATTTTCATCGATGGATAGTCGAACGAGGCATGATGGAAGTTGAAGATGATGATATCGTTATCAGAGATAAGGTCATTGGTAGAAATCTGTTTGTAACGAACAAGATGCCATCGGAAGACACGACCCTGAGCGAGATCAAAAACATGAGGATTATGTGTCTCATTGTGCATAATTTCGTTCAATTGCTCATCTGTTTCATAAATGCTTTCGACTATAGAAAATCGATTGTTTTTATGATTCTGTTGGTCAATAATTCGTTGTGTAAGAATGTTTTTTGTAGTATCAAAAATAAATGCCGTTCTCAGATATTGATGCTTTTCAACAACAAGATCAAGTGCATAACGAAGCTGCTGAACAGACAAGATATGATTAGCAGAAAGACGATAGCAGAATACCATATTGTATATTGCCAATTGTGGTCCATCCAAATGCAAACGATGTTCTTCATCATGCCATATTCGCTGTTGAGCATATGAAGCTGGTTCTATGATAGTCAGACATTATTCTTACACACTTATTAGGTTTATTTTCATAGTTAAATACTCGAATCTCTCGCAAATAGCCGACGTTATACATTTTTTATGTTCGAAGGGGTTTAAACTATTTCTACAAGTTACTCATTATGTACGAGTTTTAATTCATGCAGATATGTAAAGAGGAATTAGAAATGAGCTTTCTTCGAAGCACTTACTTATTTCAGAGAAATGTCGTAGTGATTCAATGGCGTTTGATAAAGTTTCAACGTTCATTGGTAAAAGAGAAAGATTTCCAATTTTGTCCAAAATTGGGTCGAATCTAATGGTTTTCGTATTTTCAATGAACATATGTAAAAGTAGATTCTGAAAATATCGACCAATGGTGGACACCGTCACTTCATCATAACAATCAGCGCTACATTCAAACATACAATAAGTCGTTTGGCTGGACTGATTATGAATCATTTTTAAATTTATATCATGAGAAGCAATACCATTGTCATGTAGCCAAGGTTGTTCTGTATATAAATTTAATATCGCATCATTTGTCTTGGCTATCGATTTCATTTCACTAGTTGGAGAAGAGTGACTTTCTTCATATTGAAAATGAAATGGAATCTTGCTTGAACATAACTCCCTGTTACCCTTGATGATCTGTTGATACGGTAGTTGACGCTGATTAAGAATATCCATGTCCAGCTGATGAATTTGCTGCACCAAGTTAATAAAACTTTCATTTGCATTAATTTTGATACGATATGGTAATAAATTTGCAAACGAACCAATCATGCATTTTGTATCCATGAATGATCGATTTTCTGTAGGACAGGTCGCACACAAGTCACTAATCGTACCATCATTGAGTTCATAAATGAAGAGAAAGAAGCACGCTAATGCTGTATGAAACATAGATAAATTATGCAACGATGCAAATTCCATCTGACCTTCGACAAGTATCGAATCCAGTATAAATGATATGCTATGCCCTTCTCCAGAACGCTTTTTTGTGTCGAATGGGCGTGTAAATGGTGTCGGATAGTTTGCATCAAGACTGTAATCATCCATCATTTTTGACCAAAACTGCTGAGCTCTTCGTATTTGAGAGTCTTCGGCGATATTAACGAATTGTTGATGCTCATATAGACTAAAACTGATATATTGTAACTTTTCAACATCCAGTTCCATTTGATCGTATGCTTTTGTAAATGCAATGAGGAACGGACTAATAGAATTATAATCAAATGCTACACCATGAAATATGAAAATAATCAAATCTTGAGGATATAATTTGTCCATGTCATCGTTAGATTCCATCTTAACTAGATGACAACGAACAACTAAACCCTGTTCTAATTCAGCAAAATGCTTGACCGATTCATTCCTAAGTAGATCAGCAACTTCATCGGGACTTTGTATGTCGTTTGCTGTTATTTCAAAGGAATAAGCATTATTGTTGTCCACAGATTGCACTGCTTGGACCAACATATTACGATTTTCATCGAAGTAAATTGCAGTTCGAAGTATTTCATGCTGTTCAAGAACAGCAACAACGGCCGAACGAATGCGTTCGATTGACACTGAGCCATGCTTAATCACCAAAGGAAGAACAGAATTATGCATGGCAGGTGACATCGGTGAGTTGTGATGGAACTTTTCGTCGAACCATATTCGTTCTTGTGCGAAAGATGCAACACCTTGCGAACACCCAGAAGCAGGAATAGTTAATGATGCTGGTGGAGGCATCAATTCTTGCTCTTGAACCTTTTGTAATAGCGCCATTTCCATCATTGTTGATATTTTGTATTCGAATTCGTCAAGTAGCAGAAGCTAAATAAGCAAATAATGTGAAAAATAGAATTATCTAAAAAGAAACAAAACTCAATAAGCTATATGAGCGTGTAAATGGATGATGATGAGAATAAAGCAAATAAAATCGGGTGGGTGTCGGTGTGGGTGTGAGTAAAACAAATCAGAAACATCTACATCCACACCCTTATCCACACCCTGATCATAATAATGGTATCTATTTGTGATGAAAATAATACCTATACTCTTAATTAAAGAAAAAAACATTATATAAATAAAATAAATTACTGAATAGCAAATTTTTCATTGTTTGATATCTTGAAAATGAGTTTCATAAAAACTTCAATCTTTTGTTGAAGAGGAAGTTTTTGTTTCACCATTCACATTAACCATATGTATTGAAAACACTAACTATTAAGTATATAAATATACGTATATTTATTTAAATTATTTTTACTAGATAATTTAACTTACATTAAATACAAAATAATCAGAACTAGTTTTATTTTGATCTTGAAGTAAAATAGTTTGAGAAAGTCTAAAAATAAATTCAGTTCTTATTTTTATGTCAGATGAAATAGAATATTTAGATGAATCTAATGGAAAATAAATCGATAAAATTATTAAAAATATCTTCAAATAAAAATCTCTACCTTATTCTATGAGATTTGTTAAATTGAAGATTCATGTTAAATATTAATGTATTTTGTTGAACATTAAAATGTTTGTGAATAAAACTTGAAATTGTTTTTTTTCAAACACCATCTAATAATAAATGTTGAATTTAATAATAATAAATTAAAATTTATTTCAATTAATTGAATTATTAAATAAAGAAATTTAGAGTTTTCATCTTGAGTTATATAATTATTGTAAAGATCTATTTGAGAATGATGAAGTCTTCCGTCAACTTGTTTTCTTTGAAAATCAAACCGAATTTTCTATAAACATTTGTATTTTCTTATAAATCTTATTTTTTAAAAATACGTTTTCATGATTTGATGTTTAGTTTTAATTTGTTTTTCTTCTTGTTGAGTACTATCAATTTTTAGAATTTGATAAAAAAAATTTCATTAGAAATTTGACCAATAAAATGCATAATTATTAATTCCACTGTAATCATTTTGTGAATTTAAAGGACGATTAATTAATTTTGCAAATGATAAGTATTCTAATAAAATTATCTTATTAATTAACTCATTTTTATCATTTTAAATAAAAACGACTCATCGAACAGTTATCAAATGTAATTAGATCTTGTTTAATAGATTAAGAATTTCTGTTATCATTTGAATGTGTATCCATTTGTGATTTTCCCATATCAATTAAAATACTTTTATTTGAATATGAATTCATTAGACTAAGTATTTGTGGAGTATTTAATGTAAACTCCGTTTTGCATTCAATTGAATGTTCATCATATTTTTGTAAAATTGATGACTAAAGAAAACTTGGTTCATTACAAGATGTATCTTTATCTTTTTGTTGTTGTTTATTTGTTTGAAATGAGTTAATTAATGATGATATAAGTTGAAAATATTTCTAAAGAAAAAGAAAATTTTATTTTTGAATATGACTTTTAATAAATTAATATCGTTCTTCAGTTTTCCTCTCATAATTAAATGAAGATAAATCAAATATAATTAAATTATTTGGTTTATTTTCTTCTAAAATAATATATTGATAACGAGATTTTATATAAAAATCAGTAAGATCGTGAGGGTGAGTGAATGAGTAGGATAGATATGATACACTTTTCTATTGAACCATTTGATTCAATTACTTCAAATAAGATATGTAAAAATGCTTCTGTATAATATGTTAAATCTAATAATGCATATAATAAAACAAAATATCAATCTAAAATAAATAAATAATTTAATATAAAATTTTACTTTGAAAACAATAAAATTGAATTTAAGTTATGTTATTTGTTGTCCAGATCAGTTGTAATATCAATTTTTTTCAATATTTTGCTTTTCTTCTTGAAGAATTTTTTGAATAGGTATCAGTTTTTTAATTGTTTCATATTGTTCTTTTGCATTTATTTAATGTTTTTAATCTTTTGATTTTGATTTCTATTAGTTTACAAGAATAATATAAAAAAAAGAACAAACTTGATTTTGTTTTTATTGTTTTTAATCAAATATTTGAGGATATAGAATTGTTTTCATTAGTTTTAATAAACCAAATAAATGTATACCAAACATTCGACATTTAATCGGTGAAATATTTCCATTTGCTTTTCAACTTAAAATAAATAAATAATAATAATAATTTCTCATTTTCTTTTCCACACTAAATACAAGGATCTCATAATATTCCGAAGAATCTGGATATATGCTCAATTTTATAAACATTTATAGAAAAAAAGCTTCTTGGTTACTTTGAATATTAATATCTTACCTCTAAGTACGAAATAGAACAAATGTGAATTGTCTTACTTTTTACTCAAACTTAAATACACGACTCCAGTCATATTATACAGTAATCGATATATTTGTCACATAATTCTCCATTTTAGCAGCAAGCCCACACTTTGATCAGGATACGCCTTTATTTTGTCTTACAATACGAAAAAGGTAAATGCATATTTTTTTCGTCCATACTAGGTCAACGATTCCCGTCATATTTTTAAATAGTTGGACACATATCTTATTACGTCGACGTTTATATTATGCAGTAGAAACAAACTTTTACTGTTGCTCAATACGTAATTAGATTACAAAATAAAGAAAATTGATAGTGTGGGTAGACGCTGATGTACAACGTCCTCGCAACGTGACTCATCCTTGAATATGTCGATATCCTTATGAATTATTTGTATTATCATGTTTTTTCTTTATTTCTGTCTATATTTTTAAGTCAATTGATGGATTTCGTACAAAATTATCTTATTGTATATATAAAACAAATGAACTAATATCACTATATGTTCTCTATCAATTTTTATAAACAAATATTTCTTATATATTGAAAATCTATTTGTCAATTGATTTATTAACAACCTCTTGAAACATACACTTGTTAGACTATTCAATATTTCTAATTCTAAACCCATTCTTTGAAGATATTTCTACTATTTTCAATGCTAGTTCATTTGT